TATGATACTTTCATAAAAAAAATGGAATAGAATAGAGAGTCCAGAAGTAAATCCTTGCTGAGATGGTCAATTAATCTACAACAGAGGAGAGAAACATATACAACAGGGTAAAGAAAATCTCTTCAATAAGTTGTGTTGGGGAGACTGTACAGATATATCAACAAGTGAAATTGGACCACTTTCTAATACCGTATACATAAATAAATGAAAAATATATAAATAAATTGAATGTAAGGCTTGAAATCATAAAACTAGAAGAAAACATAGGCAAGAAAGTCTTTGACATCACTCTTAGTAATCTGTTTTTGGATATATTTCCTTGGGCAAGGGCAACAACAACAAAAATAAACAAATGGGACTTGCATCAGACTAAAAAGTTTTTGCACGGCAAAGGAAACCATCAACAAAACAAAACCATCAGCAAAACAACCTACTGAAGGGGAGGATATATTCACAAATGATACATCGATAAGAGGTTAATATCCAAAATATATAAGGAACTCAAACAATTTAACAATAACAACAACAAAACAAAAACAATCCAATTATAAAATGGGCAGAGGACCTGAATAGATAATTCTCCAAAGAAGACATACAGATGGCCAATAGACATGTGAAAAGATGCTCAACATCACTAATCATGAGAGAACTGCAAATTAAAACCACAATGAGATATCACCTCACCCCTGTCAGAATGGCTATCATCAATAAGTCAACAAAAAGTTAGTGTAAGTAGGATGTGAAGAAAAGGAAACCCTTCCTTGTGCACTGTTGGTGGGAATGCAGATTGGTGCAGCCACTGTGGAAAACAGTATGGAGGTTCCTCAAAAAGTTAAAAATAGAGTAGCTATATGATCCAGCAATTCCACTTCTGAAGGAAAAAAACCCACTGACACTAAATGATATATGCACCCCCATGCTCATTGCAGCATGACTAGCGAAGGCATGGAAGCAAACTAAGTGTCTATTCATAGACAAGTAGATAAGAGAAGATGGGTACATATATACAATGGAATATTATTCAGCAATAAAAAAAGAATGAAATCTTGCCAATTGCAACAACATGGATAGAACTAGAGGGTATTATACCATGTGAAATAAGTCAGACAGAAAAAGACAAATGTGATTTCACTTATGTATAGAATCTAAAAAAACAAAACAAAACAAAATAGAAACAGACCCATAGATATAGAGAACAAGCTGATGCTTGCCAAAGGGGAAGGGATGGAGGACGATGGAAAAAACCATTCAGAGGGTGGGACAACTGTAGAAGACAGGGATAGTTCCATTTCCGAAGGTCAAAGGGGGCATATCACTTGCAACTGTGAGATCCAGGCTTGGCCCGGCATGAGTTTCCAGAACCACCTGGAGATGGATTGGAAAGCTTAGAGGACCTGGAGCCCGGGTGGCTGTCATCTGGGGAAAGGGCTTCTGTGTGGCTTGGAACTACATTTCAGCTCCAAGGTGGCCAGTCAGGCATGGGCTCCAGAAAGGGCAGACAAGGCGGGGAAGAGACACAGCATCTCCGTCTTGTCTGAAGCCCCCTTCTTCTCTGGCAGGGGACAAGCTGGACACCGACTACATCGAGAGGTGCCTGGGCCATCTCACACCCATGCAGGAGAGCTGCCTGATTCAGCTCCGGCACTGGCTGCAGGAGACACACAAAGGCAAGGCAAGTGCAGGGCGGGGCCTGCTGGAGCTGACACATGCTCGGTATTAGCTGCCCAGCCTAGGCCCTGGGGAGGAAGGGCCAGGGAAACCAGTTTGTGCCATTGGTAATGCTGGGTACTTAGACTTTGCCTTCTTTTCATTACATATGGTTTCATGTGACTGTAATACATGCTCCCGTTATCACTGACTAGGCACTGCTCACATTAAGGCCAGACAATCCTTTTTTTTTATTTTATTTTTTTTTATCCTCACTTGAGGGTATTTTCCATTGATATTTTAGAGAGAGTGGAATTGAATAGACAGAGAGAAATATCAATGTGAGAGAGACACATTGATTGGTTGCCTCCTGCATACCCCTGACCAGGGCCCTGGCTGGGGAGGAGCCCGCAATCAAGGTATGTGCCCTTGACCAGAATCGAACCCGGGAACCTTCAGTCCACAGGCCGACGCTCTATCCCCTGAGCCAAATGGGGCAGGTCAAGGCCAGACAATTCCTTATGGTGGGGATTGTGTTGTGAACTGCAGGGCTTTGAGCAGCATTCTTGACTCCCACCCATTAGATGCCATGAGCTCTTCTCTCCACGTTGTCACAACCAAAAATGGCTCCAGATGCCACCAGATGTCTCCTGTAGAGCACAGTCACCTCCAACTGACAACCACTGCTGTTCACAAAACCAAGCACGCTATTCTTTTTAGAAGAGACTTACTGACTTGTGAGGGTTGATTTTTGACTGAGTGCGGATTTTCCTTGAGACGCTAAGCCTCATCACAAGAAGGTCCAATATGCATTTGGGTCCCGAGCATGGGCTTGACCTTCAACTCTGTTGAGTTGAAACTTCCTGCTTAGTCATAAATTGATGGCCCTTCCTCCCCACTTCGGGAGGCAGACAAGGGAGTTAGTACTGGGCTGTAATGTAAAATGGGGATAAGGTTAGTATTCACCTCCCATAGTGAGTTAAAGGGAATCCACATAAAGTGCTTAGAGCCATGTCTGGTTCAGAATGAGAACTCACCAAAGGGTACTTTTGGTTGGCGCTGCCCTTCCCTTGATTGTTGATATTTGCCAGAGGGAAGGAAGGAAAGAGAGCTGGTGGGGTCTTAACTTATCCCCTCAGCTATTATTTAGACTCTTTGGGTTATATGTGGCAGGAATGCAGCCTGAACAAGGCAAAAAAAGGGGGCTGGGAATGGGGGAGGTATTATCAGCTCATATAACACACTGTTAAGAGGAGTGTGTTTATTTTCTGGGACTGCTGAAATAAAATGCCATAGTTTGGGTGGCTTACAACAACAGAAATGTATTCAGCCATCTGTCTGGGATCAAGGTGAGAGCAGGTGGGTTCCTTCAGGAAGCTCTGGGGGAGATCCTGGCTTCTGGGAGCTGCTAGCAACCCTTGGCTTGCGGATGCATGTGGGTGCACATGGTCCTTTCCCCAGCTAAATATTTTCAGAGGAGACAGGAGATTCATTTCCCATAATCCTGTCTACTGGGATAGGGAACACCATTCTCTGGGTTGCTCCTCCTCACAGATTCCCAAAGATCAGCACATCCTTCGGTTCCTGCGGGCTCGTGACTTCCACCTGGACAAGGCCCGGGAGATGCTGTGCCAGTCCTTGAGCTGGCGAAAGCAGCACCAGGTGGACCTCCTCCTTCAGACCTGGCACCCCCCTGCCCTCCTGGAGGAGTTCTATGCAGGGGGCTGGCACTACCAGGACATAGGTGCGTTCCTTGACCTACGTAACGTATGTGCACCGTTGGTCACTGTGGAATGCACTGTGAATACCACTTTCCAGGTTTCTTGTTTTTCCTTTGGACTCTTCTGGGCATTTGGAGATGGCCACCCCAGCCATGAAATGGCAGAGCTGGGCTTGAGGCAAATAGTGCCTTGGGGCTGCCGTGGCAAATGACCTCAAACTGGGTTAGCTTAAAACAACAGAGGTTTATTCTCTCCCAGTTCTGGAGGCAGAAGGCTGAAATCAAGATGTCAGCAGGTCGTGACCCTCTGCAGGCTCTCGGGTAGAATCCTTCCTTATTTTTTAGAACTCCAATGGCCCAGCCTCACTCCAGCCTCTGCATCTGTTTTAACATGGTTTTCCTCTCTGTGTATCCTCTGTGTCCTCTCTTCTTTTTCAAAATATGCTTCTATTGATTTTTAGAGAGAGAGGAAGGGAGAGGGAGAGATAGAAACATCAATGAGAGAGGAACATCATGGACTGGCTGCCTCCTGCACATCCCTTACTGGGGATCAAGCCTGAAACCCGGGCATATGCCCTGACCAGGAATGGAACCAGCAATCCCTTGGTCCCTGAGCCGCACTGGCCAGGCCTTTCTCCTTCTTATAAAGACCCCCAGTCGTTGGATGTAAGGTCAACAATGACCCAGTATGATCTCATCTTGAGACCCTACTTCCAAATAAGGCCACATTCTGAAGTTATGGGTGGTCGTGAATTTTGGGGATATATTATTCGACCTACTATATATTTCTTTGGATTTTAAAAATTAATTTGCCATTGAAACTCGTGCCTGCCATGATTTTCAGTGTCCTTTATATAAAAACCCATATACAATTGTCCCTTGAACTTTGTGGGGATCATAGGCAGCGACCCACTCTTGTGCAGTTGAAAATCCATGTATAATTTTTGACTCCCCAAAACTTAGCTACTGCCAAAACCGGTTTGGCTCAGTGGATAGAGCATCAGTCTGCGGACTGAAGGGTCCTGGGTTCAATTCCAGTCAAGGGCATGTACCTTGGTTGCAGACCCATCCCCAGTGGGGGGTATACAAGAGGCAACTGATCAATGATTCTCTCTCATCGTTGTTTCTAACTCCCTATCCCTCTCTCTTCCTCTCTGTAAAAAAAAAAAATCAATAAAATATATTAAACAAACAAAACAAAACAAAAAACAACTTAGCTACCGTCGTCCTTTGGTGTATGCAGGATACCAAAACACACAGATGCTCATGTTCCTTATATAAAATGGTATAGAACAATGCATGGAGCTGATGTTGGCACAATCCCTGGATGTAAGACCCAGAAATATGGAGGGCTGATAGTGTATTTATTGGGGGGAGGGGGGGAAATCCGCACATAAATTGAGCCAAACCCTTGTTGTTTAAGGGTCATCTGTATGTTGAACAGAGCAAATGCTCGGCTCTTCCGAAGAGCGGGCTGAGACTTGTCCTTCAGTGAGCCAGTCCTCATTATCTTTGTATTGCATTTATCACCCCCAAATCAACACTCAGGAAGTGTTCGTGGTCCTTGTGCAGAGTGCCCGCCCTGCAGTCCCGGCTGAGGATGAACAGGGAATCTTCTGCTTCCTGCTCAGCGCTCACGTTGGACACAGCATCCTTTTTGCAGCCTACTTTGTGCCACTTTTTTTTTTTTTTTCCCTTCTCTCATCTTTGTGCATTTGGTTGTGATTTTGCTGTTTACAATGGCCTCCAAGCAGAATGCAGCAGTGCTGTCTCGTGTTTCTAAGGACGCATGGCTATCGTGTGCCTTACTGAGAGAAGGTGTGAGTTAGGTCAGACCTGCATTGCAGTGCTGCTGGCCGTGAGCTTGTTACCGAATCAACAAAGTATACTAAATAAGGTGTCCTTAAATAGAAACTCAGAAAATAAGGTTATATGTATTGATCGGTTGACAAAAATATTATGACTAGAGGCTGGCAGGAACCTAACCCTGTGTTTTTCCTGGAAGCAGTGGGTCTATATTGGATACTTCAGTGTTTAAGGTGATTATAGAACAACTAACAAGAATAGCAAGAATCGACTGCTCTTGTCTCTAATTTTTTATTTTTGCTTCTGCTGACAGAAAACTAGCAGCCGATTTTTATTTATTCTCTCCATGTTCCTTCATTACATGGCTCATCTCCTCCTTTTTAAACTAACCTTTTATTTATTTAATTTGTTTTTTCATATTTTATTGATACTTTACAGAGAGGAAGGAGAAGGATAGAGAGTTAGACACATTGGTGAGAGGAAAACATCCATGCCGAAACTGGTTTGGCTCAGTGGATAGAGTGTCAGCCTGAGGACTGAAAGGTTCCAGGTTTGATTCCAGTCATGGCCATGTACTTGGTTTCGGGTGCATCCCCAGTGGGGGGTGTGCAGGAGGTGGCTGATCAATGATTCTCTCTCATCGATGTTTCTAACTCTCTATTTGTCTCTCTTCCTCTCTGTAAAAAAATATCAATTAAAAATATATAAAGAATGATGGAAATCAATAAGAAAAAAAAAAGAGAGAGAGAAACATCCATCAGCTGCCTCCTGCACACTCCCTGCTGGGGATGTGCCCACAACCAAGGTACATGCCCTTGAATGGAATCGAACCTTGGACCCTTAAGTCCGCAGGCTGACGCTCTATCCACTGAGCCAAACTGGTTAGGGCTAAATGAACCTTTTAATGTTAGGACAGTTTGAGGTTTTCAGCTAGGGTCATACAGAGAGTTCCTGTATGCACCTCATTCAGTTTCCTTTACAGTGTAAGCCCGTGCTTCTAGCACATGCTATGTTTCTTTCACCATCATTGGTATTAGCCCCTCATAGGACTTACTAGTAAATGACGGAGGGACAGGCCTTGGTGAGCCACAGCCTGGCCCTCCTTCTCTGAGCAGGGTGAGGTCTCAGCACGGGGTTGACCTGCCCTATTCCCAGCATTTCTTACACTGTGTCCCCCGCTCTTTGCACAGACGGCCGCCCCCTGTACATCCTGCGCCTGGGCCACATGGACACCAAGGGCCTGATGAAGGCCGTGGGGGAGGAGGCGCTGCTGCAGCACGTGAGTCGGAGTCCCCATTCCCTGGAGCCCCCGGGGCTGCCTGCGGTGAGCAGCCAGGGGCAGGCTCACCAGTGCCTTCTCTGCCCTCCAGGTGCTCTCCGTCAACGAGGAAGGACAGAAGAGATGTGAAGGGAACACCAGGCAGTTTGGCCGTCCCATCAGGCAAGGACCCGCCGGGGATGCATTCCCCTGAGCAGGACAGGCGGCCCAGGCTCACTGAGCATGGCCCTTCACAGGGGTGTCCTCGCTTGATCCTCACAGTGACTCTGTGAGGCAGGGACCGCCCCGTCCTGTCCTTTACTGGGGGAAACTGAGGCTCGGAGCAGGGATGCTCTCCCAAGGTTGCTAAGCGGGTAGAGGCAGAGCTCATGCCATGCATCCTCCTGGCCTTTGCCTTTGGGGGACCCCCCCTTCCCCCAAGTGCCACCTTGAGTCTGTCTCCCAGGCATGCAGACTCGCAGCTGTCCTGGCACATCCGGTAGGTAACCCACCGTCCCCCTCTGGCTCCCCAACTTCCGTGCCTGAGCCCAGTTTCCCACACCAGTATTCACAGAGCCGTCACCTCAAAGGCACTGAACCTCTGCCCTTCTGTAAAGTGTCACCAGTTCTAAGGGTTCTTTAAAAACAAAAACAAAAAACCCCACTATATTTTATTGATTTTCTACAGAGAGGAAGGGAGAGGGATAGAGAGTTAGAAACATCGATGAGAGAGAAACATCAACCAGCTGCCTCCTGCAAACCCCCTACTGGGGATGTGCCCGCAACCAATGTACATGCCCTTAGACCGGAATCAAACCTGGGACCTTTCAGTCCATAGACCGACGCTCTATCCACTGAGCCAAACCGGTTTCGGCTAGGGGTTCTTTATGGATTGTCAAAAACAATAACTCTGAGGAGATGATGCAAACACGTGTCTAGAACTTATAGGTAGCAGGTTCTCGCCTCAGCACCTTGATTCTTGGCATCCTTATTCCACCCCAGGAAGGAGGAGCAGGCAGGACCTGCTGCTGAAGCTTTTATGAAAATCACCATCCTTTGCCATTTGGTGCTTTCCTAAAGGGACATCTCCTGGGGGTGGGGGTGGGGATGGTCACTCAGGGTCCCGGCCAGAGGCAGAGTCCCTCTAGAATGGCTCAGGTGACAGGGTCACAGGGTGTGGCGGTGGCCTGGCAGGCGAAGGGAACGAAGCTGGGGTGGAGAGGCTTCCAGGGACTAGGGCAGCGGTAACGTTGTCATTTTTCCTAACGAGTTCGTACTCATGAAATGGAGGCGCAGAGAGGTTAGGAAACTTGTTCAAGGCCACACAGCAGGTGGCAAACCGAGGTGCTTGAGCTCTATTTGGTTATCAGCATCTTTTCCACAATCGGTAGCAATAACTATAATATCAAAGCTTTTACTGAGTGGGTGCTACGTGCCTGCCCTTTACGTATAGGTCCCATTTAGTCCAAATGAGAGTCTCTCTGCGTGAGCTGGAGACTTGCTGTCATAGCCACGGTCCCGATGAGGAGGAAGTTGCCCAGGTCACACAGCTTCCAAGGGTGAAAGTGACACTGGAATTTGGGGCCTCAGCCTCCGAGCCCACACGCTGAGCCTCTTTGCCACGTGGCCTCACCGTGGTGGCAGGATCCAGGAGTGTCCTGTGGGCCCCACTCCTTCTGCTCCCAGCCCTGCCTCACTGGGCGTGTCCATCCCTGGTCCCTGCAGGGGGTGCTGGGGACCCAGAGAGGTGGTAGGGCAAGGTGGAGCTAGGGCTTGTCTTGCAGCTCCTGGACCTGCCTGGTGGACCTGGAAGGGCTCAACATGCGGCACCTGTGGCGGCCAGGGGTGAAGGCCCTCCTGCGGATGATTGAGGTGGTCGAGGACCACTACCCTGAGACCCTGGGCCGGCTGCTCATTGTGCGCGCCCCCCGCGTCTTCCCCGTGCTCTGGACGCTGGTAAGAGCCGGGCCGGAGATGGGAGGGGTCCCTCGGTGAGCGGCCCTGCCTGCTTGTCCGGTGTCCTTTCTTCTAAGTCAGATACCATAGAGCTCACCGCTGTGAAGGGCTCAGTGCCATGACTTTTAGTGTATTCACAGTTGTGCAACCATCACCGCTACCTAATTCTAGACTGTTTTCACTTCCCGGAGAGGAAACCGTTAGCCGTCACTGCCCACCTCCTCACCCGGCTCCTGACAACCACGGACCTGCTTTGTGTCTCTGTGGGTTTGCGTATTCGAGATATTTCATGTAAACGGGATCAAATAGTATGAGGTTACTTGCGTCTGATTCCTCACTCAACATAATGATTTCAGGCTCATCCACAGTGTAGCGTTTCTCAGGACTTCCTTTCTTTTTGTCTTTGAAATATTCCACGGCACGGATGGAGCCCATTTTGTGTGACCTTTGTCTTGCTTCGTGGACACCAGAGTCACACTCAGAATCGGACAGGCTTCCCAGGACCCCTGTGAGCAGGTTCTGCAAACCCTATGTTACAGGGATATTAAAACGTTTTGCCCACGACCCATAGTAAGAAATATATTTTGTTGCAATCCTGCACTTGCATGCATGTACACATACGCATACTCACACAATGTACTATATTGATTTCACAACCAGATTGTCACTTGCAGTTGAAAACCACTGTCCTGAGGCCCCTCCAAATTGTACAGACTCAGAGTTAGCATCTTACCCAGTGCCAGGGTGTGTGTGTGTGTGTGTGTGTGTGTGTGTGTGTGTGTGTGTACACGCATGCATGTGTAGTCACTGCTTGAGAGGCACTGCTGTAAGTAGAGGTTTGATCAGGATAGAGATTCAAGAGTTTAAAGTTAAACAGACTCAATGTTTTACTAAGCACCTACTATGTGCCAGGCATGTCTCCAGGCCCTGAGGATTCTGAGTGCACAAGCCATTTATACAAAATGTCCAGAACAGGCAGAACTGTAGAGACAGGAGCAGGCTGGTGGTTCCCAGGGGCTGGGGGAGAGGGGACAAGGAGTGACTGCTAATGGGGGTGGTGTGGCCTTTTGCTGGGATGAAAATGTCTTGGAATTAGGTAGAGGTGATGGGAGCATAGCGTACGGAATGAACTAAAAGCCACTGAGTCATTCCCTTTAATGTGCTTAATTACTGTGTGCAAATTACCTCTCAATAGGAGACAACTCTTCCTCTCGCTCCATGTCCCCCGTTTCAGATCAGCCCCTTCATCAATGAGAACACCAGGCAGAAGTTCCTCATCTACAGTGGCAGCAATTACCCCGGAGGCCTCGTCGACTACCTGGACAAAGACGTGATCCCCGACTTCCTTGGGGGGGAGTGCCTGGTGAGGCTGCCGGCCGGGGCAGGAGGAGGGGCAGGGTGTGGCCTCTAGGACCTGGGAGTGCCGGGGCAGGGCTTGTTTAGAAGCTTCCCCAAAGAAAGGCGACTCCTCCCTGAAGGAGGGCAGCCTTCCTTCCCTTGCTTCTTTCTAACACAGTGAGTGAGAGTTTCCAGAAGTCCAAAGACCAGGCCAGGCAAAGGCTTACCCACCCTGCATTCCCCTCCAGGTCTAGGTTGCTAGGACAGTCAGAATGACCTTTTGCCATAGGGGGGTGTGACCCAACTGGCCCAGAGGCCTGGACCCCGGAGCCAGTGTACCTAAAGGAATTTACCCCCAGTTCACAACCACAGGGGTGAGATATTGGCAGAACACACCTGAGAGCCTGATAGGAGCTTGTGCCCTGGCTCAGCCACTTCCTGCTGCCTTACTCCTCTGAGCCTCTGTTTTTCTTTTCTGTGAAATGGGGAGAATAATAGTTCCGACTGCTTTGTTGTGAGTCAGGTGGTTAAATGGGGTCAAGCAAGCCCAGTGATCCCTGTTATTAGTGTGGTTTCAGGGGTCACAGAGCCTGACGGGGCCCTAACCTACCACCTTTGTCTTTGTACCCCAGTGTCATGTCCCGGAAGGAGGGTTGGTCCCCAAGTCCCTCTATCTGATGGAAGAGGACCAGGAGCACGCAGAACAGATGCACGAGTGGAGGGAGACCTACCAGCCGGCCTGTGTGCTCCGCGGGGCTCCCCATGAGGTGCTGGGGCCCTGGCCCGGGAGGTCCCACTGGGCTGGAGTGTCATTCTAAGTCAGGATCTCCCAGAGAAGAGGGTTCTCATGCTAGCAATTTGCTGAGGGCAGTAAGGATGACGAATGTGGGCAAGAATGGAAGGTAAGAGCCTGTTTCAGCCACAGTCTATCCCAGCCTCACCTGTGGGGAGGGCTGGACGTGTAGGGCCCAGCAGAGTGGCCCTGCCAGTAAGCTCTAACCACCTGAACCCTCTTGTCTGTCAGTCAGTGGCTGTGGCTCAGCCCCCAAGGCAGGGTGGACTTCTCAGGCATTTCAGATAGAGGGGGACCTGTTCTCAGACCTCGCCTATCCCCATGCAGGTCACGGTGGAGATTCTGGAGGGGGAATCAGTCATCACCTGGGACTTCGACATCCTCCGAGGAGATGTGGTGTTCAGCCTGTGCTATGCTAAGCAGGCACCCAAGCCAGGCCCCCGGGAGCCTGGGGCCAGGGCCAGCGGGCAGCTGATGGACAAAGGGGAGACGCTGGGTGCAGATTACAGTCCTGTGGAGGCCCCCCTCATCTGCCGGGAAGGGGAGAGCGTTCAGGTTCGAATTCCTTGGTTCATTCATTCATTCACCATCATGCAAGGACTGAGTGTTCACTGTGTGTCGGGGTTCGGGGACACAGCCATGGACAAACAGGACCTGGTCTTCGGCCTCAGGGACCCTGTGGGATAGTGGGGGAGAAAGACAGATCCTGGCAGATCCAGGACCCAGACCTCAGTCCAGCCCAGAATCCCCTGGGACTCCAGGCTCCAAGCCCGGCAGGGTGACTCAGAACCTGAGGGTGTGGGGTTTGCGTTCTGCACTCCTCGCCCTCTCCTGGTGACCACTGACTCACAGTCAAGTTCCAGAACCAGCATAGTAGCACAGAAGCTAGAGGTCTGCAAACAGAACTCGGACCTGGCATTGAACATGAGGCCAGTGTTTGCAGGTCAAACATGATAGGCCCCCAACACACACCTCCACACACATACTTGCACTCACATACACATGCACACACACGCACTCACACATATATGCACACACATACACATACACACACAAGCACCTGCGAGCAATGCAGAACTTCCTGAAGGTTCCACACTAGCCACCCCCAGGCACCCACCGAACATCCATGCCCTTCCTGGAAGAAGTTGCTCTTCTCGTAACAGCTAACGCCCCTCTTTCGTGATCCCTCTTGGTTCCCAATGAGCTCTCCCTACCTTGCGGCTCCCTCCCAGGTCTCTCTCCAGAACTCCTCAGTGTGCAAAACCCACTCACCAGAACGAAAGCCCAACAAAATCCAGGCGGTTAACCAGGCTACACCTCTGCTGTCCTGCAGCCCCACTCCCAGTCCTGGACCCCCTGCCCCAGGTTCAGAGGAGACTCTTAGGTGCCAGGGATCTGGGGGTGACAGTGCAGGGGGAGAAAGGTTGGCTTCGGCAAGCGCTTAGAGGCAGGACAGCTGGTGGGCAGGTTGAGAAGGGGGCTGTGTGAACCAGAGCCTCAGGCTCGGCTGCTGTTTCAGGGTTCCCACGTGACCCGGTGGCCTGGCATCTATCTGCTCCGGTGGCAAGTGCACGACCCCCCTGGCAAGGTGGCGGAGGACGCCCTGACGGCCCTGCACAGCCCTGGCCCCAGGTGCAAACTCCTCTACTACTATGAGGTGCTGGCGTCTGAGGACTTCAGGTAGGAGGGGCTGGGATTCAGCTCCTGGGCTGGAAGGGCCCCAAGTTCCCCTCTAGGCCCGGCTTGGGGCATTGCATTCACCTCCCCTGTTTGCCTCTCAGCTTCTCCAGGTGGGGCACTGGTACCGTTAAACATTCCCAGTGGCCCAGCACCTCTGTGTGAGAAATTGGCCGCTATGTCTAAACTGCCTCAGCTGCAGAACCTTCCCCTCAAACAAAACCCTGGACAGAAGCCCAACAGACCAGATTGACTGGTGGGGGGAGTCTGAGGTCCTGCTGTTTGGACCTCCCCTCACATCTAGAATCTCATAAAACAGGGCTTGGGCTGTTCTAGAACAGTCTACAATAGTGCCTCACAGACAACTCTTACCAAGGGATGCCTCAAAAGGGACAGGGAAATATAACGGTTCAGACCTCCAGCACTTCCCAGTTGCTGTGTGACCTTGGGAGAGTCACTTCACCTCTCTCAGCCTCAAACTGGAACCCCAACGTTGTGGGTTGTCATGAGATGAAGTGGTGGAGGAAGCCTGCCCTTCCTTCCCCTGTGCATTCAGGAAGCACTCAACAACAGGAAAAAAAGCAGAGGAGGCGGAGCAGGTGGCTTTTTTAGGCCCTGCATTATATCTTTTAAAAATGTGTGTGATTTTGCATTCTGCTTCATGAAGTGCCTGCTAGTTTCTGTCTAAAAATAATGCATTCGAGGCGGAACTCACCACCTCCTATGAACACATTGGAAAATCACCTGCACTTAGAGCAAATCCTCCTGAGAGACACCTGAGGGCTGGCTGAGCAGCTTCTGTGCTACAAAAGAGAGGGAGAGAGACCCCTAGAGGTTGGGGAACCACAGGAGCTCTCTGAGATCTGATTGGAGGTGCTGGTGAGCCCCATTGTTTACACTCCCCGTCCACTAGATGGCACCGGGGAGCTCTCTTTTTATTGATTTCAGAAAGGAGGGGAGAGGGAGAGAGACAAATAATGATGAGAGAGAACCATTAATCTGATTGGTAGCCTCTTGCATGTCCCCTACTAGGGATTGAGCCCATAATTCGGGCTTGTGCTCTTGATCGGGCTCGAACCCGGGATCCTTCAGTTTGCAGGCTGACACTCTATCCACTGAGCCAAACTGGTCAAGGCACTAAAAATATATATTTTTAAAAATCAGTTCCTCAGTGCCCAGTATCCCCACGTGGCCAATGGTGGCTGTGATGCCCACCATCACAGAAAGTTCTGGACGGTTCGACTCTGCTCTGAAGTTTGGAGTGGGCGTTAACTAGACAAAGTGGGCAGGAGAGAAAGGCTTTTGGCAGGAGGCACTGACATGCAAATTTCCCAAGTCAAGGAGGCGGGTGTCCGAGGAGAGGAGATGAAAGGAGGTGGGGGGTGAGGCTGGAGATGGGCTGGGTACTCAGGCTGTGGGATGCCCTCTGGGCTCTGCTAGGTCCCCTGTTCAGGGAAACCCCTCAATGGTTTGTGGCAGGTTGGGCTCTGCTGGGGGCACAGGTGGAGCTTCATTTCTCATCTTGGCCTCACTGGCTTTCCCTCTGCGCCTGTGGGAAGAGGCCTGGAGCCTCATTGGCAGCATCACCAGCTTTTCCTCCGCAGTGAGCCCCAGGAACCCTTAAACATTCCCAGTGGCCCAGCACCTCAGTGTGAGAAATTGGCCACGGTGTCTAAACTGCCTCATTGGCAGCATCATTGTTTCAGGGCTCTCACGCGACCCTCCACCAGGAGGTAATACTTATGCTGTGCCTTTCCTCCCCAGGGGCTCCATGTCCAGCCTGGAATCCTGCACCAGCCGCTTCTCCCAGCTCAGCGCTGCCACCTCTTCCTCTTCCTCCAGCCAGTCCCACAGCAGCTCCCTGGTCTCCAGATAGCCAGGACGGAGCCCTGTGGGGCAGCCCACTCGCCTCAAGTGTCTACCACCGGAAGCCAGCGACCCGGGACCGTGTGGTCTGCAGCCCGGGTCTGGACGCTGCCAAAGTTGGGATGTCGAGCTGACAGCAATGATTCAGCCTGTGGCCTGAGGGTGGTGGGAGCCTCTAGGTCAGAACCATCTCCTTTGTGCTTTGTGTAACGACAAGCCAAGGAGAGAGGGTGCCACCTTCAAGTCTGCCTGTTCTGGCGACTCAGGGATGTCATGAGGCTCAGCCCGCCCTTTACGTCTGCCTCTGCTTGTCCTGGGATGGCCTCCTTCTCAGGTGCCTTCCCCATGGCCACGGGGCTCCCTCCTTCTTTCTTCCCAGCTAGCTCCAGAAGAGAACTTCCTTCTCCCAAAGTTCCTCTAATCAGCCTGCCCGGGGCTATGCTGGTCCCTGAACCAATCACAGTTACCAGAGAAATGGAGAACACTGATTGTCCACTCTGGACTTATCACCGTGTGGAGAGCGGGAACAGTGACTGGTCAGTTGGACCATATGTTTGTCCCTGGAGTCCATCACTTGGCCTAAAAAGCACAAGGGGCCTCTAAGAATATTGGGATCTCCCAAGAAGAAGGGAGAAAGAATACTGGGCAGGCAGAAATGATGGATGTTCATCACAGCATCTGATTCCCTGGCGATGCCCTATGTCCGAAAACAGGTACAGAGAGCAGTTATATGAGTTTCAGGCATTGCGGAGCAGCCCACTCTGGACTTGAAACCCACTTTCCTAACGCTTGGCTGGGAGGCCCTCCTCCTGCCCAGCTCTAACTCAAAGAGGACGGGAAGGAGCAGGGTTTCTGCTAAGTTTCAGGCTGTTGATTTCTCTCCTGAGAGCTCTTTAATTGGGACTCTTTTGGTTATAAATTATGGAGACCCATAAGCGAGGGTAACCACTCGTGGGCACATATAACGGGCCCACCCAGGAGGGCTTACTTCATGTATGGTTGGATCCAGGTTCTCAGCCTGGCACCAGGACCCCCCTGTGGGATAGAGGCTGTGACTGCTGTGTCTGCCCTGGGTCAGATCTGACTCCTGGGACCAGCTCCAATATTATCAAACTCCCCGAGTTCCCGCATGGGAGAGTTTTATATATCCTTGGGGCCTGAGGCCGCTTCTCTTTTCTTTTCCTGGTCCTCCGAAAAGACACAGGTCAGAGGTCACCAAGTGGCAGCCTGCAGTCTGAGCTGGCCAGCCTTTAGTGTTTTTGGTTTTTGCCTACAGAGTGATTTAAAATTAGGGCATTTCACCCAGAAATCAGAATTTCTGGCTTCCCTTAGGCAAAACAGGCCCACTATTGACACATAAAGGCAACAAACACAGTTGTCATCCTGGCTGGGCCACACCAATCCCACCACCCCCATCCCACGTCACTCACTTGCCCTGCCTGCCTGGGAGAGGCCTCGCTGACGTGGCTTGGCAGGGAGCCGGGCTCCAGTCTAGGGCCCAGAGGCCCAGCATTACCTTTATCTGGTAACCTTGCGTACAGTTGGGGTGTAAGGTCCCTGGGCCTTGCCCAAGGAGTGGATTTATAACCGCGGGGATGGTCATCTCCCTGCAGACTGGGCATGATGGGGCAGAAGGGCAAGCTTACTCCAGCACCACCTCAACCTCAGCCCCAAACCTGGAGTCCAGGGGAGGAGACATCCTTTGTTCTGCACGAAGGGGCCTCGCCCACCTCTAGTTTTCCTTTGCTTCTCAGGTATAGGAACAAAAGCCATACCTGCATCCTGCCTCAGGGCGTGTGTGCCCATGTGTGAGGGGGTGAGGCAGGGAGGGGGACTGGAGACGTTCTCAAAGCGAATTGCTGCCATGTGACCAGGCACTTGTGGCTGAGAGATATTTTCGAACTGCCTTACTATCTTTGGATGAGTTTCGAGCTTGCCCCTAAAGTCTACGTGCTATCCAGGAAGCATTTTGGGGCAAGCTGTCCTAGCACTCCCTGCACACCTACAGGGTAAGACTAGCACCCAGTGGAGGAGAGAGAGGCCTTTCCTTGGCGGGGGGTTAGAAATGGGTTTTGATAACTGGAACCTGGATCAGCTGATTCAAGAGACAAAGGTCTGGCATCACAGTCCAGCTTTTGCAGGAGGAGCGAGGGGCCTATGACCACTCAGTTCTCCCCTTCAGAGTTCCCCCTCTCTCACTCTCTGCTTCACCCAGGCCTCTTGGCTCTGCCTCTCTTTGCAAACCGGCCTCGTCCTCTCCTCTGTCTGGTGGGAAGTGGCTGGCTGCCAGCATCTTGTAGCCTACAACCTCAGGGCTCACCGTCTCTAAGGCCGGGAGGGACACTGATCATTTCAATGCCACAGAGGGCTCAGATTGGCCCTGCACGAGTTGCATGCTCACTCAAGGGGGCGGGAAATCTGTGATTGACAGTCTCTCCAGAAGCAATAGTGGCATGACCAGTCACCTATGGACAAAGGGAGCTGAGCCAGAGAAGCAACAGATGGCCACAGTGGTGTTTGCTGCGGTTCTGTGCTGAAGGTCTTGGGGCCCACGTTGAGACACCATCAATCAATACGCCATCTTTTTACCTTGAGAGGCTTAGAATTAAAAAACCCAAGAAGGGCTGCCAAGCTCTTGGCCTCTAAATTTCCCCAGCCCCCAGGGCTGGAAGCTCCTTGGCGTGGCTTTTTTTCTCCAGCCAGTTCATTAACCTGTTGTGACCAGGACGGAAACAACTCACTTGCAACAAGACCTGCCCAGGCCCCGGGTTTAGGAGCCTGGGTTTTACATTTTCGACAGGGTGGGGTTCAGACCTAGCTGTGCAACCTCCAGCAGGTGACTTAACCTCTCTGTGCCTCAGTTCCCTCATCTGTGGAACAGGGACAGCAGTGCCTACCTCATTCATTGGGTCATTGTGAAGTCCACAGCCCAGCACCCAGCTCACAGAAAAGTTAGCAGTTATTCTGGTTATTTCCAAAGACTGCAGACTCCTTCCTGAGGATGCCTGCCACTGCTTTTCATGGACAGAAGGCTCAAGCACCAGGTGCATCCGGAGAAAAGTAGTTGTTGGACTATTATCTCCTTTCATCTTTCCCTTTCAGAAATTGCTTGTATGTTGTGGGGGCAAATCCACTCATGTAGAACTGCCATTTGGAATGGTGTCTCCCTCAACTAGCTAGAGACTGTCCTCTCCACAGGTTGACATGAGGGGGTGTGGCACTCCCTGGGATTTCTCCCCCTGTAATATGAATGCTCGATGAGAATACTGTAATTCTTTCCCTGTCAGTCTGTTTCAGCCAGCAAACCCTGGAGTTTCTTGTGGGCTTGATATTTGCTCCAACCAGGATTAAATGTTTTAGATTTGGACATACCTCTGCTGTCTACTTCCTAAAACCCTGGATGTTTCCCTGGGCTTGCTCAAGAATTGCCCAGCTGTTGTTCCTAAGACTCTAGAGCAGTGGTCCTCAACCTTTCTAATGCCACGACCCTTTTATACGGTTCCTCATGTTGTTGTGACCCCCAACCATAAAATTATTTTTGTTGCTACTTCATAACTGTTGCTACTGTTATGAATCGTAATGTAAATATCTGTGTTTTCCTATGGTCTTAGGCGACCCTGTTAGTGGTTCTCAACCTGTGGGTTGCTGCTGTAGAGTGGTTCAGCCAGCTGACTCAGGGGTGTGGCTGGTGTTGAGAAAGAATTCCCTGGAGCAGGTGAGCTGGTCTCTGCTGACCTGTTTCCACAGGATCGCCTCCCAGAAGTCCGCTGGGATTTGGGTGTGGAGAGAACAGAGCATGCCGGGGCTCCCTGTGGCCCAGAGACAGCCTCTGGGACCAATTCTTCCTACAAGGCCAGACCTCCGGGGTCTCTGTGGAGAGGTCTCAGGGCACTGGTGTGGGAGATTGGGCAGGGCCTGGAAGGAGCTGGGAAGAGCCAGAGGAAAAGTGCTGGGTGGCTCTCAGGGCCGGCAGAGGCAACTGTGGCTTTTAGAGTTCTCCCAGCCTCTTTCCCTCCTCTCCCTTCTGTGCCTCTTCACACACAAGGCATTTCTGAGGAATGGAGGTCCCCAGAAAGCACAATTTGAAACCTCTGACTGAAGAGTTTTCTGGAGCTCAGATTTTTCTGAGACACAGACCCCTTTGAGAATCTGTTCAAAGCTGTGGCATTGCACTTGAATTCTGTTTCCATTGCCCACCCTTTGATCCTGGAATTGAAGCTTTTTTTCTGGAGTCTTTTCTGATGCTAAAGTTTTATAAAGAGAATCTCAGCTGAGCTATGTGTCACCTTGGTAACTGCCCACACAAGACTCCCAACATTCCAAGTCTGACCATCACTACCATGAGGTGGGGAGGGGCCTTGCGTTGCCCTAACTAGACCATGTTAATCCCCAGCTCACAATCCTGAAGCTTCATGACTTTAGCTCTTTGTATGTCACACGTGTCCCTGCACCACTAAGGGTTGGCATTGGAATCTCAGACATTTTCTGCCTCTTGTTCCACATCCCATGTAAATTCTACAAATGCCTCAGCTCAAAACATGTCTCTCCTGGAATGACACATCATGAATGTCAGACCCCAAAATCTAACACAATCTGCCTCAGGCAAAAATGGAGATTTATGGGTCCATATAATTGGGAACTCCAAGAATGACACTGGCTTCAGGTATAGCTGGATCTAGGGGCTCAAATATCCCCCTTCTTTCCTGGTTCGATTCTCCATGTTGGCTTTGCTCTCCTCCTCCACATGGCCCATATCCTGGAAGCTGGGTAATCCCAGTGGAGTCGTCCCTCCCCTCCCCCAGGTCCCTGCAGAAGTTCCAGGGTGAACTCTGACTGGCCAACTGGGACATAGGCCTGTCTCAACCATTCGCTGATACCATCTGGACTTGCAGGTGGGGGGTGCCAGCCAAACCACAATGGAGAATGGGGAAGAGGTAGTGCCCCAAAGCAACTTGACAAAAGCTTGTGGCCCTCGTAGAGCAGGCAGGAAATGCCAATTAACCCTCAGGAGCAGCCCTCAACCCATGATAAATGAGGATTGGCTCATAAACACACCAGCTCCCCCTTTCCTAGAAGCCCCAGCCATGAGCCTGGTTTCCAAGGTAGGGAGCTGCTCACTAGCCTACCACGTACAGGCTGCCTTCCCTTCTCCCCTCATCCAGGGATTCTTGGGGTCACCTACCAAATACTCTACTTGCACTCACATCCTTGTCTCAGGTTCTGCTGCTGGGAGGACCCAACCTCAGATGGGGCAGATATTAAAAGAGGGGCTGAATGGTGGGCAAAGATAATAGATACTCCCATCACACATTAAAAAAAAAAATCCTTGGGGCCACAGGGAAGGAATGTCCCAGGTACTGAATCAGGGACCCCTCTGGCACGCCATGACAAGCCCTCTTCGGGTTCTGCCCTGAGCCTGAAGTCCAGCAAGCCTGTGCACAGAACTGTCATTTCCAACTCAGCCAAGGACGGACAGAGAAGCCCCTGCAGAGGCTGGCGCTTGGAGGACAAGGCCTTGCACAGCCCGTTGCCTCAGAGCCTTGGGGTGCTCCTTGTAGGTTCCCGGAGCCCTCTGCTCCTGACATTCTGTCTCCGTGGGCCTGGGGCGGGGTCCAGAAGTCTGCAATCCTAGAACATTCCTGGGGACACATTGTGCCGGCAGCCAGGCTTGGGAACTGTGCCTGAGGAATATGCGAAATGATCATGATGATGCTTGGGAACAGGCTTGAGCTCTTGCCACTGTGTCCTACTCTTGAACATCAAAGCAGCCCAGGACTTCTAGGTAGATAAAGAAAGCGAAATACAAAATGAACCTTCCAGGTAATGAAACACAAGCTCCCTGGAGGAATGCATTTTTGCTTACATTCCCAGGAGGAATTAAAACTTGCAGCATCATCTGGTTCCTTGAACAAGTGGCTGATCCTAAGTCCCCGGGCATGCTGAGGTCGCCCTGCTGTCTTCCCTTTCTTCCCTCCAACCTGGGGCACAGACCGGGCGAGGGGCTGTGAGGAGGTGGCACTCCAGTAGCTTGGAGTGCTGTGGGCTGTGGGTTCACCAGGTACCTGAACGACATGCCAAAGGTCAGTGGCTCTGGCCAGAGGATTGGAAGGCAGCAGCCTGTAGGGAACATCCCAGGCTGGCACAGAGGCTCCCTGCTTATCCATCCCCATCTTTAGGGGCCAGACAGACCCACTGACCCACACACATCCTTCCAGGGACTCACAGGCTGAGAACTGTCATAGGCCAGTTTTTATGTTTTGATTTATTTCAGAGAAGAAAGGAGGGAGAGGGAGAAACATCAATGATGAGAGATAATCATTGATAGTTGCACTCCCCGTACCGGGGATTGAGCCTGCAACCCGGGCATGTGCCCTGATTAGGAATCAACTGAGTTCATGATGGACACTCAACCACTGAGCCACACCAGCTATTCTGAATTCCTCCTTTCGAAAGTGAAATAGATCCGCTTTATAGCAACTCGATCGCAGTGATGGGCTCCTTTCTGGTCCCTTAGCAGCTCCTCTCAGTAAGAGGTGGAGTCCGTCTCCTTTCCCCGGAAATCCAGGCCTGGGGACTTTATCTGAGAGAATGTGGTGGAAATGAGGCTGCAAAAGGCCTCGCATGCTTCTCTTCTGCAATCTCCCTCCACATCCCCAAGCTGAGGCCAGCCTCCTGGAGGGCGAGGCCCCACCTGGAACATGTCTCCCTCAGCTCCAGCCTCCCAGCCCAGCCCCCGCTCTCACAGGTGAGCCCTGGGGAAATCACTGTCCTTGGCCCAGCTCAACAGAAGCACCCAGTGGACCCAGAATCGTGAGAAATAATTGTTTTTCATGATAAGCAGTAACTGGTTGTTGTTTTAAGCCACCAAGTTTTGGACTGGTTAGGCTGCACTAGGTAATACCACAGTTATTACCATGTCTTAGGGCTGCCATGATAAATACCACAGTCTGGGTGGCTTCAAACCACAGACACATTTCTCACAGTTCTGGAGGCTGGCAGTCCAGGGTCAAGGTGCTGGAACATTTGGTTCCTGGGAGGCTGGCTAGTAGTGTTACGCCCAGACTTCGTGATCCCCAAGGACCACCAGGGAGCCGAGTCCGATGCAATAAACAAAAGAGCCTTTTCCATGCTAGCATGGGCCCCCCCATTCACGCTGGCAGCATGGCGGAAGAGCGCGAGCTTCTTCCAGTCCAGGGGTTTTACTCAGGTCGATGGGGATATCACTGCCTCGACTAATCCTGATTGGTTGGGTGAGGGCTAGGGATAACTCCGCCCTGCGGGGCGGAGTCGGGAGCTCATCCCCACCCCGCCCTGCCCTCTCATTAGATGCTGCCATCTCACTTCGTGTGAGCAGCTGGGGAAGGTGCTCTCTGGTCTCTTCCTCTTTCATGGTGCCACTCCCTGTAAAAGGAGCTTTTAGGGGTGAAATAGGCAGGTTTAGGAAATTTTAGGAATTAGCCAAGACCGGTTTGGCTCAATGGATAGAGCGTCGTCGGCTTGGGGACTAAAGGGACCAGATTCCGGTCAAGGGCATGTACCTTGGTTGCGGGCATATCCCCAGTAGGGGGTGTGCAAGAGGCAGCTGATCGATGACTCTCTCTCATCGATGTTTCTGGCTTTCTATCTCTCTCCCTTCCTCTCTGTACAAAATCAATAAAATATATTTTTTAAAAAATTTTAGGAATTAAGGGGTCCATGGACAAAGCACAGGGTCTCAGAGCTGCAAAGGGAACATTTCCATAGAATAAGGGAGCAGGGAGCTGCAGAGAGTATATTTCTACAGAATGGAGCTGGGAGCTGCAGAAGGTACACATTTACACAATAAAGGGAAGGAAGCCCCTCATTCAGAGGGAAGAGGAAAGCCCAAAGGGAATAAGAACAATAAGGGAGGAGGGAACTTTAGGTATCTCACGTGAGGTTTGAGCTCTGAGGTTAATACAGTGACTAATCAGAGGGGATAGTGACCACTCAGAAGGGATATCCAGGCACAGAAAACTGCAGCCTTTAGAAACCATGGGAAAAAGGGACTTTGTGGGACTCTTTTCCCCTCCCCACCTGGGAGTCTGTGTTGTTTCTCAATAAATTTCCACCTTTTACTATACCACCTTTTGTCTGTGGTTTCATTCTTCGACTCCACCAGACAAGAATCTGGGAACCATCCTGCCCAGAGGAACACCATGAGTTCCAGTTCAATTTTCCCATTTCACCATCAGGAAGGCACCACCCTCACAAGCCCACCCACACCAAGGGCTCACCTCCTAATGCCACCACACTGGGGTTAGGGCCTCAACGTAGAAATTGGGGGACAACACAAACATGCAGTCCATCGCATACATGGGTTTACCTGAAGACTTCCTGAAAGCTGTGGCCCCACCATCTCCCCTCCCAGAACAATTGCTAAGCACACTTCATGGGACAGCGGAGGAGGAGGAGGGCTGCCAGGCTTCCTGAAGACCCCTCATGGCCACGGCTTACAAAGCTGATACTCACAAGGCCGGAGGTCACAGGTGAGGGGAGCTGGCTGCTGGGCTGCGATGAGTGGAGGGCCAGATGGGGATGTATGTTCTCAGCTCTGGCCAGCTGTTGCCTTGTGAGGGCATCAGCCTGGTCACTACCCCTCTCTCTGACTCTTAAAACACTAGTAATTATTTTAAATTCTATTAGGATACAATGTGTACTAAGGTGGTCAGGGGCAGCCTCGGCACCACCTGGAATCTGCATTTTAATAAGGCCTGCAGGTGCCTCGGGTGCACATGAAATAAACAGATACATCGGGGAGCTGGAGGTGCTGGGGGCGGCCTGCTCTGGGCTCCTGACTCGGTAAAGCAGCCCTGCCTCTGAAGACCCAGGAGCACTCGGAAGTCCGTGATTCAGAATTCAGCCACTGCCTAAGCTCTTCTTCAATTATATAAATTTATTTAAGAGGTATAAAAACCCTCGGGGTGGTAGGATGACAGAATCAAAAGCCTGTAAACATGATTTCATCCCCCGTCCCTTCTAAGGGGTTTCCCGTGATAGGAAACTGAACTCTAGTTGGCAAATGCGGTGATGAGGTCTATAGCAAAGGGTCCGGTGACATGGCCATTGTCTCTTTAATCCACCCCATTGCAAGGGGGCTGGCTGGCAGCCCCCTCTCGGTCTCGGTGAGTTCCATTCACTGGTGGCCGGTCCCGGGAGGATGGAAGCTCTTTGGCAGAGGCCCTCGTGGCAGCAGACACAGGCAGGCGGGGAAGGACGCAGTCTCTCGGGAACATTCTATTGCACAGGTTGCTCCTGCCATGGCAGACATCCAGGCGAGCAGGCCGAGGTCCAGGTGAGGGGCTGAGGCACACCTGCTGTCAGAAGCTTGGCTTGGCCCTGGGGCTGAGGCCTCGAGTCAGTGGCCTTGGACAATCCCCTGCAGAAGCCAGACAGCGTCGAAATGAGCCTCCAAACAGGCCATGGTGGGCAGCTGGGGCTTTCAGTCCTTGAAGGGGTTGCAGGTATCACCCGGCTGTTCCTTCTCGGCAGCTGAGAGCTCCCCGTTCATCTCCTGCAGCGGGTGGTAGACGTAGGACCCGTCCAGGTGCCGGCTCCGCTCTGCCCTTGAACCAAGGAGCAAGGTCACGTTCGCCACGATGCTGATCAGCAGAAGGAAAGCCAGGGCCAGGGTGAGGGCCAGCCAGGAGGTCCTGGGGACAGGAGAGAAATCCTGAGTGGGGCCTGTGGGGCAGACTCAGGGCTGCGGAGTGTTGGAGGGATCCTCCTACTTCGCTCTTCCACCCACAACAGGGGCATAGGGTCGGGCCTCCAGGGATGACACAGGGACTATATCAAGGAGCAAATGGGCGTGTGGGCTGAGGCCCACCCAGACACACATTTAGGGAGCAGTGAGGATAGATGCTGTGCGGGATGCAGCTGGGGCTGCCGTGCACTGATTTTTCAAAAGAAGCCATTAACAAAAGGGGTTTTCCATGAATGTTACTGATTTTCAGATGTTAATAAATCTTTTAAAAATGTTGAACTGTGAAGACCAACTCAAATGACCTGATCCAGCCTGGGAGGCATCAGTCTGCATCCTGTGCTCCACGAGACGCCTGCTGACCACAGAGGCTGGACACTCTCACGCCCTCAGAGCAGGAGCAGGGAGAACCCTTCCTCCAGGGCAGGGAGGGTGGCACAGGGCAGAGTATATCAAACCTCTTTTTTCCTTCCTATGAATCTTCAGCTGCAGCTCTCAAGGTGAAATCGAACACTGGTAGATTGCTGGGTGCAGGGCCTGCAGCCATGCCCGTCAGCCCCCAGGGCTCCCCAGTGGGTTGTAGGTGTGGGTGAGAAAGGGCCCCCAGTCTCACCCCTCAGGAGCCTGAGCTTCAGGCCAGGAGCTGGAGCTCGGGTCCCTGCTCTGGTGCATTTTGAAAGCACATTTTTCATTTTCTCCAGGCCTCACCACACCCAGACATGCTGGGTTAGGATCCCGGAAGGGACGCAGCACCTGCATTACTGAGGAGCTCAGCTCCCAGGGCTGCCGCTGGAATGAGGCTGGGGAGCTCTTCCTTGGTTTCCATGCCCAGAGGGGGCTGAGTGGGGCGGGTCAGGCTGGCACCCAGGCTGGGGCCATGGGAGGTGAGAACCACGGGATTGGCATCAACTGGAATGCAGATGTTCGGGCTCCTCCCCAGACTGACGGAGTCAGACACTCTGGGGGTGGATACACCCTCTTCCCTGAGGTCAGGCTTGAAAGCAAAGCCTCCACACAGGCCTGAGCACACACAGGTGCCTGAAGAATAATTCAAGTTCCGTGGGGCCTGGTGCTTCTGGACCAGGAGCTGAGAACAAGTCGTGTCGCGACCAAGGACAGTAAACCCACGCCTGGCCCCCTCCATTCCCACTGGGGTGCTGACCAGGCTCCCTCTCACGAGGTCCCTTTGAGCACCCGCTGTGACTCTCCCTGTCCTCCCGTTGGAAGACTATCATTTGAGTGCCAGCTGCCACCTGCTGGCCTTGCCCAGTCCCTCGGAGGTAGAGGGAGGGGTCTCCCACCCCTGCCCCAGACCCAGCAGAGCACCTACCCAGTGAAGAGGGAGGATTCTCTCGTCTGCAGGCTGACCTGGGATGGCTGGAGACACTGCTTCACTGTAAGACACCAGGGTGAGGCCGAGGGCCAGCCTCTTGGGGTGGGGTGGGAGGGAGGAGGGATCAGGAGGGACCGTACCTTGGGAGAGAATGCTGCTCAGGTTGGGAGCCTGGGTGAGGTTGCAGTTGCCGGTCTGAGGGTCGCAGGGACACTGGTGCTCACACTCACAAGGCCTCTGGCAGCCTGGCCCGTGCCAGCCGAGGGGACACTCTGCAGTGAGGTGGCAGGAAGATGGAAGTGGAGGTGCCAGTAGCAGGGCCTCTCTCTGAACTGACAGGATAGGCCCAAGGTGTGCACAGAGCCTGGCTAACGGAGAGGTGGAGCTGCTACACGCACATTCCCAGGGGGGTGGTGCTCCCTCCTGGCTGACTCAGGGGCCGTCTAGCTTACCCTGAACACAGCTGTCTCCAGTGAAGCCAGGGGGACAGGTGCAGGTCCCCCGAACTGGGTCACAGGCAGCTCCATTCTGGCACTGACACTTCTTGGCACAGTCCTCCCCGAAGAAGCCATTGTTGCAAGCTAGGGTGGGGAAAGGGAGGTCTTTGCAGAAGTTGGCCCTGTCCCTCCCAGATGGGCCAACAGGTGGCAAGTGGACCTCAGTCACCCCGAGTGGCCTTTAGGCTCACATATTCCCCCTGTCCTCATGGTGCTGAGTCTAGGAGGGCGGATGGTCAGCATGCTAGAGAGCAAACGTCCAAGTACAAGTGAGGACAAGCACCACAGGGCTGTGACCTCTTGGCAGCAGCAAACCACTGAGGGGGTGGTGGTGGGAGGTCCCTGGGGACATGACGTGAGGCTGAGACTTAGAGAGGAGCAGAGGGCACAGTGAGAGAGGCTGGCAAACCCAGGGCCTGGCAGGTCACCCTGAGCAGTTCGGGTTTTTCACTAAGTGTGAGAGAAAATCACCGAAGGGTTTAAGCTGTAGATAGCTGTAGTGGGTTGAATTGTGTCCCCCTAAAAGATATGTCCTAATTCCTAGAACTTGTAAATGGAACTTATTTGGAAATAGGGTCTCAGCAGATTTACTTAAGTTAAGGATCTTGAGATCATTTTAGACTTAGGGTGGCCCCTAAATCCAGTGACCAGGGGTCTTTGGTAAGATAACAGAGAGGGAGACTGAACACACAGGGAGACCATGCGAAGATGGAGTCAGAGATTGGAGCGATGAGGCCACAGCCAAGGAATGCTGGAAGCCACCAAGAGCTGGAAGAGGTAGGATCCTCCACTAGACCTTTCCTAGGGAGCATGCCTCTGAGGACACCTTGATTTTGGAGTTCTGGCCTCTGGAAGTGTGAGAATGAATTTCTATTGTTTTAAGCTGCCCAGTCTGTAGAATTTGTTGCAGCAGCCCCAGGACAACAATGCCGTGATTTACATGTGAGGTGAGAGCAAGAGGCACTGAGAGGTGAGGATGAAGGTGGTTGCCACTCTCACCCTCGCCCCATGTGCCTGGGGGCTGGGGCGGGCTGGCCTGTGGCTTTTTACCTTCACTGCAGTTGGACCCTGTCCATCCAGCTTCGCAGCGGCAGCCAGCTGCCAAGACAAGACCGAGAAGGTCAGGTGAGGGCCCAGGCAGAGCCGGGCAGGGAGAGCTGGGAGCCCGGGTGAGAACTGCCTCCCCAGAGCCTCCACTCACTCTCAGTGCAAAGCCCACACTGGCTGCAGTTGGAGGGGCCACAGTCCAGCTCGTCGCAGGCGGTGCCCCGCCAGAAGTGCCCCATGCACTGGCAGTGCCCCTCCACACAGGTCCCATGGCCATTGCAGTCAGGCGGCTGGCAGTGGGGCTCGTGCAGGCACACCACGGTGGACACACTTCGGGGACAGCGCCACATGTTATCCTGGCTGCAAGGGACACAGTGTTTGAAGAGGCTGGGGTACTGACCATCCCCAGCCAATCCCCACTGCCTCTCCACCCCTTACTGCAGCCTGAGAGTTCTGCCTTTCTCCATTGTCCCATCTCAAGACTTTTATAGGTTCCCAACCCCGTCCCTCTCACCCCAGGGCCTTTGCACATGTTGTTCTCTTACCCAGAAGGTTCTTCTCCCCGCCTTCCGCATTCCCCCCCTCCTCTTCCTTTAGATATCAGCTCATGCTTCATTATCCACAGAGAGGTTTTTCCTGACCAATCAACCCCCTTTCACCAGCTTAGGTAGTACTGGTACACTATGTGTACTTCCTGTATGCAGCGAGAGGCAGGGATCTCAGCTCCTCCTGCTCACTGCTGAATTCCCCAGGGCCTGGCACATAGCTGGTACTCAGTATTTGTTGGATGAGACATGAACAGGCCTGGACTTAGACCTTAAGGAGGGGGGACTCTGGTGTGTTTACCAGTGATCTGACGGGTAACTGGCCAAGGTCCCATTGAGCACGAAGGTAGCAGAGCCTCCTCCATCCAGGTTGATGGCATTGACCACATCCTGTTTCAGCAGGAACTCCGCCATCTCCCACAGGTTAATGCTGCAACACAAGAGCAGCACTGCTGACAGTGCCCACCATCATTTCGGTTCAATTCTTACTTCCTGTGGTGGTTGGTTTCGTGTCCATGTGGCAGGCAAATTTCTAAATGGCCCCCCAAAGATGCCCATTCTAATCCCAGAATCTGCGAATAAAACAGATCACTCCCAAGATTGTTATACTACATGGCATATCTGTTAACAAATGGGATTATCTGGGTGGGCCCAATGGAATCACAAAAGCCCTTAAAAGCAGACCCTTGGCTGGAGGCTCAGTTGGTTGGAGCATTGTCTCATACGCCAAAAGGTTGTGAGTTCAATTCCCAGACAGGGTACATGCCTAGGTTGCAGGTTTGCTCCCTGGTTTGGGTGTGTGCGGGAGGCAACAGATCAATGTTTCTCTCTCACATTCAAGTTTCTCTTTCTCTCTCCTCCAACCTTCCTCTGTCTCTAAAAATCAATTGGTAAGGGTTTAAAAAAAAAAAAAAAAAAAAAAAAAGCAGTGGTGGAAGAAGAAATGGGAAATTGGAAACACGAGGGGATAAGAGGGATTTGACACATCTCTGCAGGCTTGAAGATGGGGAGGGTACACACGAGGCGAAATGTGGGCAGCTGTAGGAGCCGAGGCCCCAGCTGGCAGCTGACAAGGACACATAGACCTCAGTCCTACAACCACAAGGAACTGCATTCTGCCAACAACTTACATCAGCTGGGAAGAGGGTTCTTTCCCAGAAGCTCCAGATAAGTGCCCTGCCTGGCCAACAACTTGACTCTTGTCTGTGGGATGACCTGAACACAGAGCCCAGTGAGCCCTCTGGACTCCTGACTTACAGAACTATGATGTAACAAATGGGTGCTCATTTTTTACACAGCAATAGCACTATAATGCACTCTCTTTACAGAGCATGAAACTGTGGCCCAGAGGGGTTGAGTGGCTTGTCTATGGCCACAGAGCTAGCAGATAGCTGAGCTTGGACTGGACTCGGGGTCTTCTCCCTGCTAACTTTGTGATTATTTACTTTCACCCCAAATGAGACTCAGGAGGGGGGAGATGTAAACTGCGGAGACTGAGAGGAAGTGTGTGGAGGATGATGAGTTCTTGGAAGTGGTACAGAACACAGGAAGGCAGGGGACAGATGGGTGTGAACATCCCCAGGCGACACCTGGTCAGAGGGCAGCCATTGGTGGGTGCAAGTTCCCCAAAGCAGACTCAGCCCAGACCCTGAGGCTCTGCTTCCTGGCACTCACCCCCGCTGCTCCGTCTGCCCGTCTGCATGGAAGAGCACCAGCTGCCCCTTGCGGTCATGGCCCACAGCCGTCCTGGCCGATATCACATTGATAAATTTGCTGAAGGAACCTGAAAGAGAAGCAGCTGGGCTGATCACTGGCCCTTCAGGAGGCCTCTGGGCTCTGTCTGAAACTTCCTGCCTCTCCATGCCATCCAGTGTTTCCCTGCCTCCCCTGCCCCAGTCAGTCTCACATAGGAGCCAAAGGACTTTTAAGTGTACATCAAGTTATGTCAGCCTCCAGCTGAAAAGCTCTTATGGCTTCCATTGTTCTTAGAGCAATATCCAAACAGGTTCCCAAGGCTCAGCATGACCATTCTGGCCTCTCTCCTACTGCATTTCCTGGGGCTTCCCTCTCATCACCCTGCAGCCACTTTCTGTTCCCTCTGCTGGACTGCGCTTCTGCTCAGCTCTTCCCACGCTTGCTCCTCCGGATCTACACCACCTCAGTGAGGCCATTTGTGACTGCTTAGTCTAAAATAGCTCATTTTCACATTAGGGCCACGGGGTCCCTTTCCTGCCCCAGCATTCCACACTCCAGTAGTTTTCAAACTTGAGTGTCTATCAGAATCACCCAGGGGGCTTGGTAAAACACAAGTTTGGGTCCCACCCCCAGGGAATCTGATCCTGTAGAGGAGGCCTGAAGTTCTGCATTTAAAACAAGTTCCTGGGCCAGGCCATTGTGGCTCTGTGGTTGAGCACTGACCTATGAACCGTTAAGGGGCGTGCAAGAGGCAGCAGATCAATGATTCTCATCATGAAGTTTCTCCCTCTTTCCCTCTCCTCTCTGAAATCAATAAAGATACATTAAAAAAATAAAAATAAAACAAGCTCCTAGGTGACACAGATGCTGCTGATCCACAAACATTTTAGCAGCACTTCTCCATTTTCTGCCTGTAGTCCCTTTCCTCCATTTATCTCCATTCTCTTAATTCTATTTTTCTCTTAGCATTTGCCACTTCTTTTAAACAAATGATATATCTATTTTCTCATATATTGAGCAGGCACCTTATCTGTCTTAACCCCTGACCCCCATTACCTAAAATAGTACTGATGGAAAGACTTCCCCCATGACCCCTCCGGTACTGGTTCTCAGGAGCACTGTTGCCACCCCCACCCCACCTGTCTCCTGTGTCTCATCGCACTCAGTCGCCTGGCTCTCATTGATGTAGATGCTTCCATTTCGAATCAGCCACACGACCCCACTCAGCAGCTGCACAAATGGGTTCTCAGTGTCCAGCACCTCTTCTTCAGACAGGTACCTGGACACAGGGAAGGTGTGAGGTTCACTTACCAGCAGGGGCAGCTGTGGGTAGCGGGGCTCCATTCCCACCCCTCTCCCCAACAGCTTGACTGCTTGATTTCTCCTCCTGCCTCAGGAAGCTGCCTGGACCTAATCCCAAACGCAGCCTTATAAACAGTCTACACAGCCCAGGCCACACGCCAATGAAAAGAAACAACCTTCAATTTCCCAGGCCGTCGTCCTAGCCAAGTTAACACCCGTTGCCTGTACAGCTCTTAAACGACCTCCCTGCTTTCACTATGGCCCTCCAGTCTAGTCTCAAAGTCAGTCCTGCCATCCTCTGGTACTCTGCTCTTTCCTTCTATCCCACATACACACCAAACCCATATGCCACCCTGAGCCTTAGCGTTTGCTGTTCCTTCTGACTGCAAGGCTCCACCTCCAGGTCTGACCCTGGCTGACTTGTGATTAATCTTCAGGCCTCCCCTCAAAGGTCACCTTCTCAAACAAGCCTTCTCAGTTCTCCCTTCCTAAAACCAACACTCTATTTACAATCGGTTCACCATGTTCCTGCTTCACCACACATACACAATCTGAATTCATCTTAATGATCTTCCTGGCTTTTATGTTCCTGGTAATGGGAGAGGTCCGTGAAGGCAAAGACTGTGTGTACTCTTCACTGCTCCACATATCTCCAGTACACAGCACATTGCCTCTACAAACAAGCTCAATGATAGTGGATGACAACTAAGCCCTGCAAAGGAGGGTATTCCTCACCCATTCTGCAGACGAGGAAACGGAGGCTCACCTTGATTAGGTGAGCTGAACTTGGCAGTACGGACACAACCCCAATCTCATGCCCTCTACCCACGACAGTCACGGCGTTTCCCCGCCTCCTCACCCGGTGACCAGGGTACCGTCGCGGCGGATTCCGAACTGCGCGTTCTGCAGGCCCCCGGCGCTGCTCACCCGCCGCGCGTCGCTCACCACGTTGCCCAGGCACTCGCCGGTGTCCATGCGGAAGAAGCCGCCGTTCTGGGCGACGCTGCAGCCGGCCGGCCGCGCCGTCTCTTCCACGGTGGCGCGGCGCCTCGATGCGCAGCCGCCGGGCCCGCCAGGCTCGAGCACCGAGAAAGTGCGCAGGGGATCGGCCGCCCGCGTCAGGTGGCCAGGCACCGCGCGGCCCGCGAAGTGCGAAACGAAGGTGCGGGCTGCGGGGCGGCGGGAGCCGGGGGTCGCCGGGGGGGGCGGCCAGCTCTCGTGCTCGCGGCTGCCGACACGCACCCTCGCGCAGTCCCGGGCGGAGCGCGCGCGCACGCGGGTGTAGGGCAGCAGCAAGTCGTCGTCCAGGGAGGCCCTGCGGGGTAAGGGGTGAAGGTGAGCTTGGAGGGTTGTGGCCCGGGCGGGGGACCTCCGAACCTGGCTCACCTTGTCTCTCCCGCCATCTCCGGGAGCCGTACTCACCCCCAACCCAAGCCGCCGGACGCGTCCCAGAGGAAGCTGAGGAGTATAAGGAAGAGAAGCCAGCAACCCATGGAGGCCGCCATGTTGGACGCGGGCCTCCGGTCACGTGGGCTCAACCCACGTGACTCTCGACCTCTGTAGGCTGCCGTCAGCTCGGACAGAATTAGTACCTTCCTTCGTAGGGGTGTGGCGGCATCTGGTCAGGTAATTTACTGTGCTTCGTAGGGGACGTGGCGTTGGAGTGGTGGCGGAACTTTTAATGTTGATGTAATTTCAACCCACAGAAATTGCAAGGTGAATAGAAAAAACTTTGTTATAACTTTTACTTACCTTCACCAATTGTTAATGTTTGACTCTTTTGCTTCAGTATTTGTACTTTATTCATATGCTTCCCCCCCCCCCCCCTTCCTGTACTATTTACAGCCAAGTTGCAGACCTCATGGTCCTTCCCCTCAATAAATCACTATGTATCTTCTACCAACAAGGATATATTTTAAAACTTTATTTATTTACTTTCCATCACTATGTATCCCCTCTATGTCTTCTTTCTTACATAACCACAGGCCAATAAAATAGGGACATTTCATATTGGTAGAATTCTATGAACTAATCCACAGTTCATATTAGAGTTTTTCTAACTGTCCTTATAATGCCCATTTAAAAAGGCACAAGAGAAATAAAATAAAATAAAATAAAATAAATAAATAAATAAATAAAAAAAAAAATAAAATAAAATGACACAAGAGGCCCAAAATAGAGTCACTTGTGCTAAGTCCCACATCACCAAATTGCAATTGCAGCCCCTCTCAGGAAGTTAATCTTAAACTGTCAGTCTGGATTTTCCTGGTCAGCACTGCAGAGGCAATGTGTGTAGACAAAAAAAGTGGTTCTGATCACAAATTCTTAACTGGGCAGGTCAAGGTGGGTAGTCATGCCCCAGGCATATAACGCTCCTAGCAAAAGGATTATCTTTGCTTTAAGCAAGCCATGCCTACAGTTTCTGTGCTTGATTAACACACGTTTGAAATTCCTTCTTTCAGCCCCCTTCTTCAAGAGAGCACAAATCTTAACTATCCTATAATTCAATTAATCCTTGCTTACTTTCTCCCATCTTCATTTAATCTTCCTTATGATCCCTCCTTAATCTCAATAGCATAAAAGAAACTGCAAATTGTTATTCTCTGAAGCATTTTCCTCAGTCTGTTGAGATCTTGCTTATAGGCATATTCTCTGTTTGGCTCAAAGACATTATTATAAAAATTCTCTACAGGTTTGGACATTCTTTTTAAAAAAATATATTTTATTGAATTTTTACAGAGAGGAAGGGAGAGAGATAGAGAGCTAGAAACGTCGATGAGAGAGAAACCTCGACCAGCTGCCTCTTGCACACCCCCTACTGGGGATGTGCCTGCAACCAATGTACATGCCCTTGACTGGAATGGAACCTGGGACCTTTCAAGTCCACAGACTGACGAGCCAAACTGGCTTCAGCAGGTTTGGACATTCTTATATTGACATCTGCCTGATAGACCTCTTTTGTCTCTTGAAGGAGGTGATCATGCCTGGAAATAATCCACACTTTTCCCTCTTCTGCCCAGAAAAGCCTTTCATTTTGTACATCTTGGATCTTCTTTCTAATTGCCAGATGGGGTCCTGCCTGATTTCAGAATCATTTAATAAAACCAATTTGATTCTCAAATTTACATAACTTAATTTTTTAACAGTCCTTTGTAGTTATTTTTCCCACATCCAGGATCCAATCTAGTAGTTGCACTTAATTGTCATGTCTCTTTGGTCTTCCAAAATCTGAAACAGTTCCTTGGCCTCTCTTTGTCTTTAATGGTGTTTTTGTAAAAATAAAGAATTATACTTATTTTTAGAGAGAGGGATAGAGAGAAACATTGATGAGAGTGAATCATCAATAGCTGCCTCCTGCAAGCCCCCTATTGGAGATGGAGCCTGCAACTTAAGCATGTGCTCTGATCAGGAATTGTACAGGGGATCTCTTGGTTCATTGGTCGATGTGAGAGGGCAGGGCGGGGAGAGGATAAAACTCCTGGCTCCACTGTGGGGCAGGGTGGAGTTATCCTCCATTGGCTGACCCTAGCCTAATCGGGGTCAGCCAAAGCAGTGACATCACCACCGGAGTAAAACCCCAGGACTACGTGAGTGGGACGGAGACCATGTTAGCATTGAAAAGGCTCTTTTGTTTATTGCATCAGACTCAGTTCCCTGGTGGTCCTTGGGGATCACGAAGTCTGGGCGTAACAGATGTTCAACCACTGAGCAACACAGGCAGGGCTATGAAATTTTTGGATTGATTTTAGAGAGAGAAAAGGAAAGAGAGACTGAGAGAAACATTGATTTGTTGTGTTCCACCACATTGGTTGCTTCTTGTGTGTACCCTAACTAGGGATTGAACCCTCAACCTTGGCATATTGGCATATGCTCTAACCAACTGAGTTAATATTTTGGAAGAGCACAGGCAGGTCAGCTGCATAATTTGCAGGGATCCTTGTTAATGAAATATGGTAGCAACCATACTTGGGTAAAAACTGCTGTTTGAATTTTAACCCTACTATCCTGACATTTGCTTACTGGCTTAAACAATAGGGTAGTTACAGGAGATTGATTCCCACTGACTCAGTAGCTTCAGGGGTAGAAACTATAGCTAACCTTTAGAGATTAACCTCTGAGTTCTGCTTCTGTATTATCGGCAAGATAGGGCCACATTCCAATGTTCCCAGCCTATAGAATTTAGAACAAAGGAAAATTCCTGTGGTTTGAACCTTTAAAAAGGCTGCCTACACCTGGAACAGTGTGGTCGTGTGGACTCCACCTGTGTGTGGTACTCTCTTGGCTGTCCTGGTCAGTTTTTCAATAAATCCTTGCCTGCTTTTTTTAATCAATCATCAGCCTCTGGTGGTCTTATTTTGAACCAGGGTTCGACCCCACAAGAGTTAAAACATTAAGATTTTCAATATGTTGAGAGCAGAACATGAAAGCTAGTGTGGAACTCCTCTGTGCACAGGCCCTATGCACCAACACAAGTTGGAAGCCCACGAAACTGGCCTGTTATTTTGAAGCATGTACTTCAAGATTCTTTGGAGAGGATATTCTTTTCAGGCCTCTGGCCCAGGCCAGTGTCCAGGGTTAGGTGGCACCTGTTGGTGCCAGTGCACCTAGGAGTCTGGCCCTTTCTGTCCACAGTCTGTACAATTAGTGCTTGAATTCAGACCACAGTTTGAGTCACTACTCCTTAGAGCCACTCAGGGTCAGTGTACTCAGTTGGATAGTGTTCCCTCCAACTTCACGTCCTTCTCCAAACCATAAAATGTGACCTTCTTTGGAAGCAGGATCCTTGCAGATGTAAAAGTTAAGATAAGGTGATACTGGAGTAGGATGGGTTCTAAGAACAGACTGATCTGTGTCCTGATAAGAAGACACACACCTGCCCTTTGGGCAGCTCCCGCCCGGCCCCGCAGGCCGCCCGGGTCTCCACCCGCAGAGCAGCCCTCCCCACGGGGCGCCCGGAGCCCGGTCCTGGTCCCGCCGGCGGGGCGGCGGCAGCGGGCAGCCACGGTGGGGAAGACGCAGAGGAAGGGAGAGGGACAGAGAGCTGGAAACATCGATGAGAGAGAAACATCGATCAGTTGCCTCCTGCACACCCCGTACTGGGGATGTGTCCGCAACCAAGGCACACGCCCCGGACCAGAATCGAACCCGGGACTCTTCGGACGCTCCATCCACTGAGCCAAACCGGTCCAGGCGAGATTGGGAATTTTTGAGCATGGTTCCTCCTAGTCAACTTGGCCCTAAGTCCCAGCTGCAACTAACACAATATCCTTACAGGATACATCGTTGTCAGTTTTCTTGAGAGAACAGGATGTCAGTCTTGAGAACTGGATGCAATTACTTACCGTACTACACCACCAGGCGCCAGGACCCCACATAAATGACATGTTATAAGAAAAACTACTTTGTTTAAAATTGTTTGCTCTGCAAAAAAGGGAGATAGTGAATGTGTAAAATACGGTTGGACACAAATTGTCGGGGCTGCGTGGAGAGAGAGCAGTCAGCCGGCCGGTTAATAAAAGGCTCCCTAAGTTTAAAAAAAAAAAAAAAAAAAAAAAAGAAGACACACACCTAGTGATACACAGAGGAAGATGGCCTTGTGAAGGAGGCTAGAGTGAGGCAGAGGCTGGAGTGAGGCAGTTACAAGCCAAGGAATGCCCAGGCTTGCTGGCAACCACGGGAAACTAGGAGAGAGGGATGAGACAGATTCTCCCGTAAGGCTTCGGAGGCCTGCTGACACCTGAACTTCTGGACTAACAATCAGTGACCTCAAATGGGCCCCAAGGGCGTCTCTGAGGCCCGTGGCGGAACCAAAGTTAGTTCACCTCAGTTAACCACATTCAAAGCGACTGCTCCTCTCGGGAATTAAATTACCCCCCTGACGCACATATTGATGTGGAAGGATTAGGTCTTTCTGTTCTTTATGTCCAAGCTGCCAAAAATCACCAGCAGACAAGCCAAGGCTTGCCGCCAGCTTCCGTGCCTCTGAAGTCCTCTTTTCCCTATGTCAACTAGGAGGAGGTAAGTGGCAGGCAGTCTCCGGTGAGTTCTGATCTTTTGTCTTCTTCCTGCTTTGTTTGTTACTCCTTTGCCAAGTTTTAAGTGCCACAGAAATTCTCCATTTGAACTTAGCAGCCTGTTACAATGATTCAGTAAGAAGGCCATTAGATTGATGGCTGTCTACCACATAAGCAAACCAAAACCTAAACCTGCAATGCCTCAAGGTTACGAAATGGAAGTGCTACATAAACAGCCAATCATAAACAGTTAGCTAAGCTTTAAGCTATAGCCAATCAGTTTCCTTTTGTTGCTTCCCCACTTTCTCTGTAGGAGTTTTCCAGGTTGGTGCTGCCTGATTTGAATCGATTTCCACTTAAGTAAATTCATTTTTAAATATGCCTTTATCTTTCCACAAACCCAAATCCACAGTTCTAATTGACTCATGGCATTTAATTGATTCATGGCGTTCTCCTTTGCCCACACCTGTTCTTCATTTGGAATACCTTGGTCCCTTCTTAGCATCCTTATCCAAGTTCCACCATTATTTGAGGATTCAACAGCTTGAGCTCCCCGATGTGTTAGATGCTGATGAAATAGACAGACTGGCCCTGCCCTCCTAAATAGTAGATTAAAAAATATATTTTTATTGATTTCAGAGAAGGAGAGGGAAAGAGAGATAGAAACATCAATAATGAGAGAAAATTATTGATTGGCTGCCACCTGCATGCCCCCTCCTGGGGATAGAACCCACAACCCAGGTATGTGCCCTGACCAGGAATCAGACCTTGATCTCCTGGTTCATAGGTCATGCTCAAACACTGAGCCATGCCTGGCCAGGCAGGATCTTAGATTTTAATGGTGAAATAGACACTTAACAATGCAAATATGGTGAGAGCTAGGAAGGAGGAAGGAGAGAAAACAGTGCCACTGGCCTATGTGAGTCCATTTAGATGGAGGCATAAAGGACAGGAAAGAAGAGATAGTTGTGGGGAGACAACGGCCAGAGCCTTGCAGGCAGAGGGCACTGCAGAAACTGGAAGTGGGACAGAGCTTGGATGTTAGTCTGAAGGAGAGCAGAGCAAGAGGAGGGTTGAGGTGGGAGGGCCAGGCCAATGCCAGATATCACAGGGTTCGAGGCAAATGAGTTTGGATTTTAGCCCAAACAAAATAGGAAGCCACTGGAAGTTTAAACACACACACACACACACACACACACACACACACACACACACACACAATTTAATTGAGGTATAATTTATATACCATAAGGTAAGATTTACCTGTTTTGAGTGTACACTTAAAGGTACAGAGATCTCTCAGCGTCACCTTAGTGCACTTTTAGGACATTTTAACCACCCCTCTCCCCCCTCAAGTTTTATCCAGTGGTTTTATTTGTATTAAATGTTTGGAAATGGCAAATTTTCAGGCAGAAAGCAGATTAGTGGTTGCCTGGAGCTGGGACTGGGACAGGGAGTGATTGCAAAATGCAGGGAGGGTGTTAATCCTGAGGCTTACAGGATGGCAAGATTGTGGGCTCCTCCCTGGCCCCTCAGCCATGGGCTCCAGCCTCTGAGTTCCTCCCCCAGTTCAGGGCTGGGCACACCTTTCCTGAAGAGGCTCCTCATGGAGCTTTTACATGCAGGTAGCAGGCTTTCTGACTGAGCATAGAATACAGCAAGTATCTGTTTTTACTCCACTTACCTAGAACATGAACAGCATCAATGCACTGGTATGTGATTATGAATTGAGGGACAGAATAAAATGTTTAAGCTGGCACCCAGTCTTGCCCTACTAAAAGCTACACCTGCCTGATTGAAACTCTTTTCTAATGTCTCTCTCCCACCTTGACTGTCACATCTATGAGGGCAGAGAGCACTGCTTTCCCCCCTCCCAAGCACTTAGCACGTGCCTGGCACACATAGGCACTTCACGATATTTCTTGAATAAATGGATGGGAACAGGGTCATTGTGTTCTAAGATGCATTTCCCATGCCCAGAGCACAGCTTGGCACACAGCAGGCTCTCCATCAGTATTTATTGAATGAATGGATAGGGATGACATCATTTGCTAGGTCTAACTGGTGACTGATGAAAACCCAGAGGTGCTGTGGATGCTGGCTTTATAAGAAAACTCAGCCGACAGCCACTTGAGCTCATCTAAACCCCAGGCTCTGTGCAGGGGGCTTAACCTGCACCATTTTATTGGGTGCCTCATGGATCCTACTAGGTGGGTATTATTAAATTGTTCTTTATACAGAAAAGGAAATGGAGGCACAGAGGGGCAGGCTCAGACCCATGGTCACACAGCTGTGATGAGGCAGCAGGTTCTGAAGCATGAGCTCATACCCCTAATCCATCCACTTCAGGAAGGACAGGGAGGGAGGCATGCCTCTCCCCAATCTGGCTGTGTGCCTGACTTGTGAGGACCTGACGCACAACTTCTGAGCAATTTTGGGAAAGCTTCCAGGGACCGAAGCAAAGAGGTGTCGACAGAGGAGGCTAACTCTTAAAGGAAAGATGTAGAAGAACTCCACCCCCTCTCCAAGTATTTTAATTCAGATCATCAAATATGACTAAATTGTCACTTAAGGATGATCAGCAGTGATCACCACTTTGTCTATTTTTTAGGGAGAGAGAGATAGATCGATGTGTGAGAGAGAAACATTAATTGAGCCTGCAACCCAGGCATGTGCCCTGACTGGGAATTGAACCAGTGACATTCTGGTGCCTGGGAGGACACTCATCTAGCTAAGCCACACCAACCAGGGCTATGATTTCCCATTGTGAAGCAAAGTAAGACAATGGACTCAGAGCCTTCCAGCCCAAGGATACGATTTTTAGCTGGTTTTTCTACCCATCTGATGCCAGCTTGAAATCAGCACCACAGACAGGGCCTGGCCCCATAATAAGGCTCTGGAAGGTCTTTCCTCAAACACTTGATTATTGTCAGAGCCCAGCTGATGTGTGGCTCTGCTCACAGGGAGGCAGAGCATGGGGTCAGAGCCTCCTGCTGGGATAAGAGAAATGTTGGCCAGTCAGCTGTTCCTTCCATGGCTTGGGGACAAGTCCCCACATGACCTGACATCTCCACTGTTATGGTAGCAGGTAATACTTACCTGGCACTTACTGCGTCACAGTCACCATCCTCAGCTCTCTGCAAACCTAACTCTCACAGCAGTGGGGCCAGAACTGAGGTAGGTGCACAAATTATTCCAACTGGTGAGGACATAGAGTCACAGAGACACTAAATGACCCTGCCCAGGGACACTGTGCTAATGAGTGGGCACTGGGCCTTGCACTCAGGCAGCCAGGGCACAGAATAGGCAGTTCCCATTGGGCCACACAGCCTTTGGTAAAATCACGTGACTGTGACAGGATGTGACCTGATGTCGCAGAGGTCTTTGCACAGGATGTAGAGATTTTATGTGCTGCCTTTCATGCTCCTCTCTGAGTTCTAGGCCACGACTTAACCTATTTCTTAAGACCCTTATGTCTCTGAGTGGGGGAGACGCAGCCGTTGACATCTGATCAAATTGCTTCAAGACTCGAGTTTATAGGTCTCTAGCATTTGTGTTGAGTGGGCTGAAGATTCAGAACACAGTCCAAGATGTTGTCCAAGAGGCTGAGAAACAAGGCTCAACTCCCACTCAGCTGCACTCAGAGTTTATTCACCTATTGCCACAACTGGATCCCTCCTGCCCCCTCCCCTGGTCCTGCGCCTGAGGGAACAAAGCTGGGGTGCTTTGCTCTCAGCTGTTCCTCAGGGTGTGGCCCAGGACTTCAAGAAGGAAGGATGAAAGGCGTGGGCTTCATCTGGGGATGGCAGGAACGGAGCCACCCGAGTCAAAGTCAGTGGCTGTTGGTGGTGACAGTGTGGCTTGCTGCAGCTCTCCGTTTGCTGCAGGGTACTGTGCCAGGGCATAGAGAAAGCCACCCAGGGCTGCCACGGCCATGGCTGTGTTGTGGGAGGAGCAGCCATCTGGGGAGAGAGACAGAGTCCCCCCCATGAGTACTGGTGGGGGGCCACAGTCCCATCGGAGTGCTTTGCAGATACTCCCCCAGCCAGCCTGGGGCCTGCAGCTGGGTTGGGCACCCATCCACCTGCTGCTGTGTGTGTATTGGCTGCTAATGGCTTCCTCCTCCAGACAAATGTCTTCAGCCATCTGGGAGGTTATACGTCCTAATAACTTAGTAATATAGGGACCCAAAAGCCAGGCCCATGTCTTGGGGTGTGACTCTGCCATGTGATTACTGCTTGAGCCCCCTCCCATGGGATGGGACCTGAGGCCACAGACACCCTCGTCCAGCTCCTTCCTGTTCCCCCTGCTCTAAGGCCCTCTGAAACATTTAGCACCCCATTGCCCCATTTTACAGTTGGGAAAACTAAGGCGCAGGTAGCAGAGCTGAGCTCCCAGCCCTGGCAATCCCACACTTCATTTCTTGACCCTGACAGCCTCCCTCATTGCCGTCTCGGGCCTGTGGGTCCCATGTGATACCTGCCTGAAGCAGGAACTCCTTAGATGTTCTTTAGTTCTCTGAACTCAAATGAACTCAAAGTGGGCTGGTCACCTTTAGTTTCTGGGAAGGTGAGAGGAGCAAAGACCTTACTCTCCTCTCACAAACATGGAGAAGAGAAGAATCCCAGCCAGGCCCCTTGGAGGGAAGGAGAATGAAGATTTCAAGGAACCTAATGAGTCACCCTGGCAGTCCACACTTATCCGTGGCCTACTGTCCACCAAATTCTGTGGGGAGTGTTTTGCACAAGGATCTTAACCCCAACAGCCCTATGAAGGACGCACTTTTTGGTCCCCATTTTACAGAGGAAATTGAGGCTCAGAGAGGTAGAGTGATCCCCACAGTGGATAAAGGCAGAAGTGGATTCAGACCCAGGCAGCCTGCCTTCAGGTCCCGTGCCCCTGACCTTCACGTGTGTGCGTCATAAATGAAGGAAGGAGCACGTTGCTCCCTCCTCAGCAGTTTTCTAGGCTGCTGGTTAACCATCAGGGGCACAACGTAGGGCCGGGACTTCTGAATTTCTCCAGCTCCCTTCCCAGCTCTCAGTGTTTAAGAAGCAGCCAGGAAGGGGCCTCGAGGAGTCAGTCTCCTGAGAGAATTCCTTGCCCTGTCCAACCCCTGGGGCAGCTATAAAATGGACCCATTGATGTGTGATACCACTCCCCGCTCTTGTCTACCTCAGGTAGGTGACGAAGCCGTGATGGAGCTGATGATGAGACGCTTAGTTATTGAAATCATCTCCCAGCTTTTGCTGGACATCTACTCTGAGCTGGCTACTCCACTTCCCTTCCTGGTTTTGCCTTGCAGTTACTTATTTTTTATTAACAAAAAGATTGAGCCTGGCCAGCGTGGCTCAGTGGTTGAGCATCAACCTATGAACCAGGAGGTCATGGTTCAATTCCCAGTCAGGGTACATGCCCAGGTTGCAGGCTCGATCCCCAGTGTGGGACGTGCAGGAGGCAGCCAATCAATCATTGATGTTTCTTTTCCTTCCTTCCTTCCTTCCTTCCTTCCTTCCTTCCTTCCTTCCTTCCTGCCTTCCTGCCTTCCTGCCTTCCTGCCTTCCTGCCTTCCTGCCTTCCTGCCTTCCTGCCTTCCTGCCTTCCTGCCTTCCTGCCTTCCTTTCTTTCTTTCCAGGAGGAGGGAGAGGGATAGAAAGCCAGAAACATCGATGAGAGAGAAACATCGACCAGCTGCCACCTGCACATCCCCTACTAGGGATATGCCTGTAACCAGGGTACATGCCCTTGACTGGAATCGAACTCGGTATACTCTATCCACTCAGCCAAACCGGTTAGGGCTCATTGATGTTTCTACCTGTCCTCTCTCTCCCTCTCTGAAATCAATAAAAACATATTTAAAAAAAAATAAAAAGATTGAGATCAAGTCCTGTCTTTATTCTTTCTCCCTCCCTGTCTACCTCTCTCCGCCCACCACTTTATTCCATGTTATAGTTTGCCTATCTTTCCTTTCCAATATAGTTATATCCTCTTCTCAGTCTCCCTGAATGGGTGAGCTAACCACATAACTTCCCATGTCAACCAGGACACTTTGGTTGTCCTGGTTGACATGGGAAGGGGCACTATTCATAATGGCACCAGAAAAACTGGTATAAGCTGGGGACTTCAGGACATGTGGCCCCTGGGATTGTGCTGGTTACTCTTGTGTTGGCTCCCAGGTTCCCTCCCTACCCTTCATTCTCCAAATCCCAGTGCACTGACCTCTTCACACTACACTTCCCAGGCTTCCTTGCCCCCCAACAGCCGGAAAGTTTCCTACATTTGATTCGCTCTTGGGAGGTTCACATGTGGATTCTGTTCTCCAGGTTAGACTTTGGTGGAGAGGGTTTAACTCCGTGGTTTTCAGTATTACCCAGAAGCTTCCCCTTTCTGCTCCTTTCACTGAGATGGTATCTCTGGAGTCACCATGTTCCCAGGGGATGGGGACAGGGACTCCTAGCCTCACCCCTCTCCACCCGAACACAGTGTGCTTTGATCAGCTCCTTCAGGGGTGCTGGGCCTGCCTTCCACCGAGGGCCCTCTGTGTGCTCCTTTCTGGATATCTCCGTTACATGCCAAGAAGGCCCCTTGGGGACTTTTATTACCTGCAAAGAGCTTTTCTCTCCTCTTTACTCTCCTCGGAGCATGCTGTTGGTGCTGGATGGCGTTAGAGAATCCCTCATCTTCAGTATCTGGGAGAAGAGTGAAAGATGAACTTCTCAAGATGGATTTTAAAACATTACTTGCTGAGCCGAAACCGGTTTGGCTCAGTGGTAGAGCGTCGGCCTGCGGACTGAAAGGTTCTGGGTTCAATTCCGGTCAAGGGCATGTACCTTGGTTGCGGGTGCATGGGGTGCATCCCCGGAGGGGGATGTGCAAGAGGCAGCTGGTCGATGTTTCTCTCTCAACGACGTTTCTAGCTCTCTATCTCTCTCCCTTCCTCTCTGTAAAAAATCAATAAAATATATTTAAAAAACACACACAAAACAAACAAAAAAGAAACATTACTTGCTGAATAGCCTCTCCTTACAACCTCTTGGATCTGGAGGCTCTTCCGGAAGTTCCCCGGAGCACCTGTCTGCAGACCATTCTGCATGGCCTAAATTTGTCATCTACTGGTATTTCTCCAATTGTGGTTCCCAATCACCCACATCTGAATGGCCAGAGGAGTGCCTTAAAAATGCAGGTTCAGTGGTTGAGCATCCATCCATGAACCTGGAGGTCACAGTTCAATTCCCAGTCAGGGCACATGCCTGGGTTGTGGGCTTGATCCCCATCATCGGGGGCATGCAGGAGGCAGCCTATCAAAGATTCTCATCATTGATGTTTCGATCTCTTGCTCTCCCTCTCCCTTCCTCTCTGAAATAAATAAAAAATATTTTTAAAAAAATGCAGGTTTATAAAACTAATATGATATTGTATGTCAACTGCAATTGAAAAACAAATTGGAAAAAATCATTTTAAAAATGCAGGTTCCACAGCCCCAGATCCACCTGCTGAATCTATCGGTTTGGGAGCCTGAGAATCTTCATTTCCTAAACTCCTCTGTTTCAAAACCAGACTCTCTTATTTCAAAAGCGGTGCCTCTTTGAGCATCATAATAGTTTCATTTAGGACACCAGCATTATTGGGAGCCTCCTCTGTACCTAGACAGATCAGGTGGTTTCACATGCATTATACCTGCTCCTCACAGTTTAGAAAGGAATTATGCCCATTTATTTATAGACAGGAAATTGAGCCTTAGAGAAGCAAAGCAACTTACTCCAATGAGGACCAGCTGACCAGTATCATAGCGGGAAAGGGACTGCATCCTCTACCTTTTGCTTCTATGATATGTCACCCCTCCCAGACATCTCCCCTGACCACTCCGCCTAAAGAACCTTCCATGATGTTCTTTTCTTTCTCAGCCTGTTTCTCCTTTAGAGGCCTCTCAGAACTGAAATTATTTAACTTATTGATTTGTTTAGGTAGGATCTGTCTCATTTTCTCATTGCCTTAGTTGATCTGGAGCCTAGCACAGTGTCTGGCACACAATAGATGCTCAGAGAATACTCAGGGAATGAGTTTGTTAATGCAGGTGCAGGGGGCTAACATCTTTCAACACGACTGCCTCCTGTCCTGCACGGTTTTGGCTTCCAAAGTTCCAAGGCCATATCCACTCCTGTGTGTGTGTGTGTGTGTGTGTGTGTGTGTGTGTGTGGTGTGCACACGCGCCTGCATATGGGTGTTGCAGATCTCTGTGTTCCTAACACCACTGTGTCCCTTTCCCCACCTGACACAGAACATGCTCCCAGTCAGGGCTAGAGGGCAGCTCACCAGGTCTCCCAAAGCATCCTTCCTGCAGCTTCTGCCAGCTGAGAATGGCCTCCAGCCACCGAAGCTTGTAGAAGTCAAAGAAGCCGCTGATTCCACAGAGCATGACTGGAAGCAAACACAGGGGACCCTCTGCAGCCCTGCCCCCGCAGGTCCACCTCCTCCCACTCCCTAAGGCCACTGCAATGCCTTGTCCCTCCTCCCACCAGGGCCAGGCAGTGCCAGAAGGTGGGCGCTCAACACAGTGGCCAGGAGGAGGCAGCCCTGAGTTTCTGCATTAGGAGTAGAGGCTCCCGGCCTGGGTCCTGCCTCCTACTTAGGGCCTTATTCAAAGCGAGCTTAGAGTCAGGATCAGGAGAGGGATTTGGACACTCAAGCCAAGAAGCGGCCACCCAGGATCCCCTTTTCGGCTTCATCTCTTAAGGCTTTGACTAACTGTTGGCCAGGCAGGCCGTCCATGCAGAGCTCTGTCACTGGGTCAGCCTTTGGGGGCAGGAAGCAGTCAAAACAGTGGCAGATAAAACACAGGAGGCCCAGTTAAATTTGAGTTTCCAATAAACAACAAATTAAAATTTTTAGGTATAAATGCAGCCCATGCAATGTTTGGGATACACTTGTACTAAAAGTTATTCATTGTTTTTATGATGTTCAAATTTACCTGGGCACTCTATACTTCTGTTTGCTAACCCTGGCAGCCCTACTCTGCGTGCGTATGCCCGTGACCAGGGACACCCTGCTGTGCTGTCCCCAGAGAGGAATGCCCACTGTTTTCCATGAAGATGTCCTGGACGGGGTAGGGGTATCCAATGGCTTCGGCCCTGTGGTTCATGTCCATCATGTTGGCGCAGAACAGGTCCATGTAGCGCTGGCTCTGGTGGAACAGCCCCCTTGTGCATCCCTTCTGCGGGGACAAAGGAGGTTGGTGTACAGGTGACAGGTGTGCCATCTGTTTGGGGAAAAGACTTGCAGTTCTGAGATGGTCCTGAAGTAGCTACCTTTGGGCCAGGTCTTTCCCCTTTTCCCAGAATTTCTTCCCCACCTACACTCCCAGCCTCCATCAAGGTCCACTTACGAGCTATGTGACCTTGGTCCACCAAGTTAACCTTTCAGAGCCTTCACCTTTCCCAGGGAAAGGGCAATGCTACTGGGAGCTGCAGGGACAGGACGTTCAACTGGCGGGCAATATACACTAAGAGGCCAGATTATTATGATCTCTGAACGCATAATAATCTGGCCGCTCAGTACACACACACACACACACACACACACACACACACACACACACACACACTAGAGGCCCAGTGCATGAATTTGTACATGGAGGGGTCCAGTCAGCCTGGTCAGGGGGAGGGGACATGGGTGCTTGGCCGTCCTGCTTGCTGGTCAAACTCCTGGCTGAGGGGTCAATTTGCATATTAGCCTTTATTATATAGGATATACAGTGAGTGGCCAGATTATTATGCATTCATAGATCATAATAATATGGCCACTCAATGTATACTAGAAAGTGCCAGACAGGATTCCCAGCACTAGGGGGCACCAGCTATTAGGACATTCTTATTCCAGACTGGGCTGGTGGCTTCAGTGGGTGGACCTCAGTTGCTGAGAGGGGACAGGAGATGAGGTTGGCTTGTGGAATGTCAGGGCAACTTTCTACCTGTCGAATCTAAGTCAAAATAATATTCATCGTAATCTGTTTTTTATTGTATTTAAAAAATACTGGCCCGTGACGGTTTGCAAATAAATAATAAAAGAATCTGTTAAAACCAGCAAGCCCCCCTTTCAGATAAAACCTCTCGACAGTTAATAACATTTTAAAAATAGAGATAACGAGCCCTACCTTTCTATATAAAGAAATATAGATGCTTTAAAATGATTGCTGTTATTATTTAGCAGTTTGAGGTCTTGGGCTTGGAAGAGCTTGGGTGCTGGAGAGGTGGCGGGGGTGGGGTGGAACGGGGGTTTGGGGAAGCTGGGTTGGTCTTGATTTCAGCTCCTGGCAGCAACTATCCACTCCAGTCTAAGTCCTTTTCCATTTGTTGGCATTCACTGAGTTCTTTCTGCTGCTTCTCTTAAACTTTTTTTAAAATTTTTTTTAATTTTTCTGATGCCCTATGATCCAGTTCAGCACGCAGAACTCTCTATCAAAGGAATCCAAAATCCACAGCCCCCCTTGCCCTGCCCCAGCCAGGTTGGTTAGATTGTATAGCACAGTGGTCGGCATACTGCCGCTCAAAAGCCACATGCGGCTCTTTGGCCTCTTGAATGTGGCTCTTCCACAAAATACCACGTGCGAGCACGCTTGTACAATGCAATTGAAACTTTGTGGCCCATGCCCAGAAGTCGGTTTTCGGCCTGGGCGAGTCTATTTTGAAGAAGTGCTGTTAGAACACTCAAGGGGCCAAGGAGCCCCATGTGGCTCGTGAGCCCGTTTTGCCGATCACTGGTGTAGCTGGTGGATGGCAGGCTACTCTCACTTCTCCTTCCGGTTGTCCAAAACAACAAGTCCAAAAACCTGCTGATTTTCCCAGTGTGTCGCATACAAGATCTCAATGGCCACGAGCCTCTTTTCATCAGCCTCCACCCCCTCAGGGCGTGGCCAGGCCTACTCTGCACTCACCATTCTGGCCGAGAGGAAGAAGAGCAGCTGGTGGGACAGGCAATAGCCTGAGCAGCCAGGCTTGGTCATGAGGGTCCTGCAGAAGTCTGAGAGCCTGCAGGGCCGGCTGCTGTTTGTCCTGGGGGAGAGGTAGTTCCAGGCTGGTGAGGGGGTCCTAAAGGAAGTCCAAAGGCCTGGAGCCTTCCCTGGTCCTGATTGCCCCACTAATTACCAGAGCCCTGTAGGTTCCAGGCACCCAGCTGGGCACAAGGGGCTGCTGGATAAGACCCGGGCATCTGTGTTTTGGTTGGCTTATTAGTGTCCCTAGCAGAGGGAGGTGTCCTGGAACAATGCTGGTTGGAGGAGCTACTGGGACTGCAACTTCTCATTGTTCATGGGAACTCTGACAGCCTGGGGTCTGGGCCCAGCATGTCCAGTCCCCCTCCAGGCCTGCCCCATAAAAGAGGCAGGGCAAAGGGGGTAGGTTGTGGCCTGGCCCAAGCACCTCTTTGAAGGTGAGGATGGAGGCCTAAGCATCTGCTGTCCCTCTGCCCAATGGTCCCTGCATCTAGGGCTGCCCTGGGGAGATGCTCTGAGGCCAAGGCTCAGCAGGACGAAATGGAGGGCTCAACTAGGTTGGGATCCCACCCTCCAGACCTACAGCCTGGTGGGGACACAGAACCATGAAACAAATGTTTCAAATGTTCCATGGCTCTCGTGGTGTTAGAGAGGCAGCCCATCATGGGAGGCCAGTACATGCAGTGGAGTCAGGGAAGGTTCTGGAGCTGGTCTCCAACTGTGAGCAGTTACTTAGTCACAGGGGTGTGGAGGAGGGGATGGGAGGAGGCCATTAGAGGCATGTTCTTGGCAAAGGGTCAGGCTTCTAATGGGAGGGTGCCTCTCAGGATGGACCAGAGGGGCCTGGGGACCTACAAAGGTGGTAGGAGGTAGAGCTTTGTCCAGAGAACAACAGGAAGCTTCAAGTGAGGTTTGTGACAAGATCCCTCCGGTGTGGGAGACCAGTCAGCAGATGAGGGTGGGCCTGCAGCGGTGGCGGTGGCGGTGGCGGGACCAAGCTGGCAGTGTGGGTGGAGAGTGTGGCCAACTCACAGGTGCTGGGGGCGGGAGAGGGTGGTGTCAGGGTGGTTCTGGGGAAGCTGCTCCTGGTTTGGTATGAACCCCCGGGGACCTGGAGAGCTAGTGGGATGGGAGGAGTGGGGGAGAGAGAACTTTTGGGTTCTCAGGAAGGGGGCAAGCATAGAGTGCTCACCCTGTTCCCAGCAGCTGCACTAGGCACTGGTCGCTGTGTTCCTCTGAGAAGGAGTCCTGGATCTCCAGCATGGGGTATACCATGGAGGTGTTGGTGTGTGTCCAGACGTGTGGGAGCTTCCAAAATCCAGGCTGGATGGTTGGCTGGAACTCTGGCAGAAAGAAGGGGGTGGAGGGAGGGCCCCAGGCGCAGTGAGCCATGCTGTGCTTAATGGCCCCCCAGCTCCTGTGGCTCAGAGCCCAGGACCTGGGTGATCTTCCCTGGGCAGCCCTGCCCACATGGTGTCTGCGCAGGCTCTAAGCCTTGCCCGCTGGTTGGGCATTGCGTTTGAAACACTCAGGCTCTTTTTTCTAAAAAAACAAAACAAAAACAATCAACAACAACAAACACCATAAAAATAACTAGAACAATGTTGGGAATGGTTTTGGCTAAATCCACGGCATCTGTGGAAGCTTGAGACAGATAAAAAGGGTTAGTTGGTTCCTTCAGTTCGTTGGGAAAATAAAGCTCTTGTCACAGAAATACCCAGCCAAGGGGCTTCTCTAGGGTGACATGAGCTGGCAGGGCCTCAGGGACCAGGCCTGGGAGAGGATGGAGGATCTCCATCGCAGTGGGAGGCCAGGGCTGGGCACGGCTGGGCTGGGGCCTGGCAGGAGCTGTGGGCCTGAGAGACAGGGCCAGAGGAGCATGATGGGCTGGTTTTATAGCCCCTTGAACAGTTCAGGCCAGGCTTATGGGATGCAGCTCTTTGTAAGACAACTCAACGCTGGCCAGGAGAAGGAACTCCTAGCTTTATAGGGCACAAGACAGATGCTAGCGAGATGCTAATATTTGCTGTGCAAAGGGCTGAATTAGCATTTAGATTCCTATCTCCCGTCCCCTCTCGTCCCCAAGCCTGGGCACAAGCTGAACAAACGAGAGGAGACATGTTCCCTACTTCCCGCCCCCTCTATGTGGGTGGGAGAGGGTGTCTCGATCTGAAGTCAAGGATGAACAGTCCTCAGGGCGCACTGGGCCTACAGGACGACAGGACGCAGTAGTTACGAGCCGTCCTCAACCCTCCCTTTGTACCAGAGGTGCCGCAGCAAGGTGTCTCAATAATGTCCCCAGAGGCTGGGCTCCTGAAGAAATCAACTCCACCCCATGCCATTACCTCTTAGGTACCGGGGGTCACTCAGCTTGAGGTAGGAAATGGATCTGTGGAGGAGAGGTTCCAGCTCCCGCATCAGATTCCCCACTCGCAGACTCTGCGGCCGCAGCAGGGGGTCCTGGGCCCACTCCTCCTGAACACCTTTCAGCTGCACTGGGAGGGCACATTTCACCATCTGACAAGCCTTGTGGGCCGGGAAAAGACCCTACGAGATAATGCTTACTGAGCCTCTGCCTCCTCCAGCTACTGAGGGGGAAAGGCTTTGCTGAGCTTACTGGGAATTAGGCCTCCGTGGGGCTGAGCTGGGCCACGGGGGTGGAGCCAGAGGTTGTAGGTGGCTGAGAGATCCAGAGGTGGGCCTGGATTCAAATCCTAACTTGAATGCATTTAATTTCTCTCCACTTCGCTTTCTTCATCTGTAAAATGGGGATAATGATAGTCCTTCCTTCCTTGAAGGAGGGAGTTATAAGAATTAACTGACATAATGCATGAGAGGACTTAGCGTTGTCTATAATGCAAAGCGAGGACTTAATGAAGTTTGGCTATCCCTGTTAATTAGGGAGATAGCGTGTCTGTACAGGAGAGAAAGATGAGGGAGGATTCAGATTGCAGGGCGAAGAACCACCATGTGCAGTTGAGCAAGATGTACACTGCGTGAGGACAACACAGGTCCCCATTATGGGTTCTTGTCTGTATTATCAATAAGACAATTTTCCAGCAGATGGCAGTCAAATGACTTGAGGAAGGGGTTGCTTTTTTTCTCCTCACAAAGGTGTCCTATGGGCTGACTAGCAATGGCCCCATAGGAGTGGGAGAGAAGGGTGGTGGCCAGAAAGAGAGGAGATATCTTTGTCCCAGAGCCCCTCTTCCCGCTGGGACCTGGTGGGCTGAAAGCTGCACTGACTACGTACACAGAGGGCTGACCTGGGAGAGGGGCCAGCCAGAGTCCCAAGCTGACACCCAGTTGGCTCTGTCTCGTAGAGTGGCCTGTGGGGAGGGACTGACCGCCACTCATTGTGTGTGTGGGGTGTCTCCCTGTTTGCCTTGGCCTGTCTCCAGATCCTTCCTCGGGGATCTTATATTTCTCAAAGCTGAACAAACACTTGGCTCTTTTCTCAGAGCCTCCTGGTAGCTTTGGCTGGAAGTAGGGGGCGCTGGGGCTGAGACCTACTGGGGAGTCTGTGGTTTTGTCCATGACCACCCTCTCATAAATACCCCTTCAGAAGGCACACTCCCTGTGCTCACCTTGTTCATGGTATATCAGGAGGGACGGTAAGGGGATCATTTCCTCCCAGGAAAATAATACTTTTCTAACCTTTTCTCTTGTGGCCTTTGAATCCTCCCTGCTTCTAAAATATCTGATAACAGAAGGGTCCCCGGACACCCCAAAGAAGCAAGTTCTCTTTCCTAGTTACTAAGCCAGGGGCACAGAGCAGGCTGAGAACTGGTTCTCCTGGTGGCCAGTCCAGGGGAACGAGAGCACACCCACCTTCAAGCACCCGGAACCCCACCACGCCGTCCAGGTTGATGTCGGGCAGCCTCTTCTCTAAGAAGAAGGTGGCTCTCTCCAATGCTGAGAGGATGAGGCTGGCAATGGTGGCCTTGCCCTCTGGGGTGTCCAGTGGTGGCAACGAGGAGGGTGACAGCGGTCCTGCCAGAAGCAGGAGCAGGAGCAGGCGTCCCAGGCTGGACATGGCTGGCTTCTGCTTGAGGCTTGTGGAGTGCTTCAGCCCAGGCCAGCCCGCCCCCATGCCCTCTTCCTGCCTCCTCCCCCTTCTCCCGCTGCAGAGCTGCAGACAAGTGGCTGGGCAGGGCTGACCCAGCAGCTGGGGCGGCCTGGGGGGAGGGTTCTGGGGGGACATCAGTGAGGCCAGGACTGGATGTGGAGCCAACTGGCCAAAGGCTGGGGAAAGGAGCTCCCACCCTTTCATACTCACTGGAGACTCCAGGCCCACAAGCTATATGTTTGATCTAGCAACTGCCGTTACAGTGCAGAAACTCCCAAACACTGAAATGCAAAGCTGTCGTTTTTAAAAATACATTTGGAATAAACTCATCTGAGGGTACACCTGCCCCAAACTGACCCAGGATTCCTTGGAAGGGCACCTGTCTGGTAGAAACAGAATACAAGCCACGAAGACAAGCCACATGGTCACTTACACATTTTTTAGTAGCCACATTAAAAACAAAAAACAAACAAACAAAAAAAAAACAAACAAACTGAGAAGCAGGTGAAATAAATTTTAACAACCTATTTTATTTAATCCAGTATAAAAATGATTAAATTTTACTTTTTTTTATTTTTTAAAGAATTCTGTGGAGGATAATGAACTCCAGGTCAGGGATTTTTTAAAATCCTCAACCAAGGATATTTTTTCTATTGATTTTTTAGAAAGAGTAGGAAGGAGAGAGAAGGGGAAGAGAGAGAGAAAAACAACATTGATGTGAGAGAGACACATCGACTGGTTGCCTCTCGAATGTGCCCCAACAGAGGGTGGGGAGCAAACCTACAACCCAGGTACATGCTCTTGACTGGAAATCGAACCTGCAACCCTTGGGACTGTGGGATGATGCTCTAACTACTGAGCAACCAGCCAGGGCTACCTTCTTTTTAAAATATTATTTTTCTTGTATGAAGTCTTTGAAATCTGGAAGAGTGTTCATATTCAGGGCACACGTCGACTTGGCTAGCCACATTTCAAGAGCCAATAGCCCCATGTGCTTCTGTACTGATTGGTGAGGAGGCGAGGAGGGGAGCTGCAGGTAGCTCACTCAGTGTGAAAGAAGGTGTTTCCCTGAGGAAATTTCAATTCCATGCTATCCCCAAACCTTGCCCGACTTTCACGTGTATACACGTCATATTACCTTTCCAAAACTAAAAAAAAATTGATTTTAGAAGCATATCTGGACCCAAGGCTTCCATTAAGAGACTACAGATCTGTAAACATAATAAAAATACCACCACACAAAAGTGCACCTGATGTTCCTGTGGGCTAGAGCCTGCTCACAGGTCAGGGTTTCTCAACCTTTTAATTTCATTCTTGCCTTTCCCCACATCTCTGACTCCTGGCCTTTTTAGACATTTCTCCTGAACATTTAAGAACTAGAGGCCTGATGCACGAAATTCATGCATGAGTAGGCCTTTGCAGCCCTGGCTTCGTCTGGAAGGTCCTCCAGACAGTTGATGGTTCTGCTGTACGGGCGATTTGCATATTACACTTTTATTATTATAGATAACATATTTGCCCTGCTGGTGTGGCTCAAGGTTGAGTGACAATATGATACCCAGTCAGGGTGCATGTCCAGGTTGTGGGCTCCATCCCCAGAAAGAGGGGTGTACAGGGGGCGGCTGATCATTGATGTTTCTATGTTCTCTGTCTGTCTTCCTCTCTGAAAAAAGAAAAGAAAAAAGAATAACAGATTTATTGAGATAAAATTCATATACCATCAAATGCAGGCAGTCTCTCTTTTTAAAAATATATATTTATTGATTTTTTACAGAGAGGGAGGATAGAGAGCTAGAAACATTGATCAGCCGCCTCCTGTACACTTCCTACTGGGCATGTGCCCACAACCAAGGTACATGCCCTTGACCAGAATCGAACCTGGTACCCTTGAGTCCATAGGCCGATGCTCTATCCACTGAGCCAAACAGGTCAGGGCTAGGCAGTCTCTTTTAAAGTCTGTTCACAAAGCTGTGCAACCACCACTACTGTCTTTTTTTTTTTTTTTTTTTTAACATTTTAAATTAATTTCAGATAGGGAGAGACAGAAACATCAATGATGAGAGGGAATCATCAATTGGTTGCCTGCTGCACGCCCCCTACTGGGGATGGAGCCTGCAACCAGGCATGTGCCCCTGACCAGAATAGAACCTGGGACCCTTCAGTCCCCAGGCCGATGCTGTATCCACTGAGCCAAACCAATGAGGGTCCACTACTACTGTCTTATTCTTGAATATTTTCATCACTCAAAAGGAAGCCCCATATCCATTAGCAGTCAATTCTCACTCCTTCTACCCCCTCAGCCCTCCACCCCCTGGAGGCCACTGATCTACTTTCCATTTCTATAAGTTGGCCTATTCTGGACATTTCATAAAACAATTATACAATGTGTGACCTTTTGTGTGTCTGACTTCCTTCATGTAGCACTTTTTCTTTTTGGGGGGCAGTTTTATAACCTTATTTGACAATCAACAGTTTTCATCCACATTAACTGCTTGCAGCTTTATGGAAGTGGTGACAGGTATGTAGGTAACCAATGTGTAGAACTTGTTTGGTCAATCTGAATCCTTATTATGTGATGTGGACAACCTCACGGGATATGGAATGGGACATTTCTTGTTCCTTTGGCCCAGACCGCTTTGTTGAGACTGGTGTCAATGTGCACTTCTGGAGCTCCCATCTCCTTCATGGCAGATTTCCCGATCTCTTTGAGTGTCTGAGGGCCATGCTTCTTGAAATCTACCACATGGAAACACTTGTGAATGTTCTCGAAGATCCTCAGTGAGGGGACCCCTTTCAAAGTCAAAAAGCTGTCATGTGGACACACATTAAACTCTGCAGTGTGACTACTTTGGGTGGTGACTTTGGAGAGTTGGGAGGGGGGACAGGGGGGAAGGAATTTTCCCTCAATACTATGGATACTTAAAATCATTATGGCTTTTATTTTCTTCTTTGTCCTTTTTCTCTTCCATTTCTCTTTATATTTTAAATGTTTTATTCAAGTAAAACACATATTCTGAAAAATGAATAAGTGTGATGTTGGAGGAATTTTCCCAAGTGGAACACACTACATTAGGAGCACCCAGACCAAGAAACAACATGATTGCCCCACATCCCACCTTCCCATTGACCCCTTCCCACTCACTTCCTGACTCTCCAAAGAGGTCATTCCCCTGACTTCTGACAGCAAAGACTTTTTTTTTTTTTTTTTTTTTTTTTTTTTTTAAGATACTTGAAATACAACTTAATTCTGATTCTAAACGAAAAGGAATGGGAATGACAGTAATATACAAGGCTTTGCCACTGAATATTATGATGTGACTGCAGCACTTTTATATTTGAAGCTTAATAAGGAAACAACTGCCTACCAACAGCTAAATGTGCAGGTTCAAAAAAATGAATGTATTTTTTAACTGCCACATTCTCTCCGAAGCCCATTTATTTCCTTCAGCATCCGAAAGGTCAAGCACAGGCTCTGCTTAGCTCCATCATAAAGGGGGCGAACACTGACATCACAGGACAGGTGACTATAAAACTAGACTTCTGACATTGGGCTCCAGCTTCCCTTCCTCCCAGGTCATCATCCTCATCCGGGAGATCAGTGGTCTGGGCAACCTCCGGGTCATGCTCATAATGTGCTGCCAGCACTGGGTCCCGGACAACCTATGTTGGGGTAAGAGCAGGCATGGTGGCAAACTTCCAGTTAGGTTCTCCAATTAGTTTTCTAGCAAGCCAGGGGAAGGGCTTTTCAAAGTGTTACCGTGTTTCCCCGAAAATAAGACATTCCCCGAAAATAAGACCTAGCGCATGGAAAGATAAGACATCCCCTGAAAATAAGACCTAGCGCAACTTTGGGAGAAAAAATTAATATAAGACACTGTCTTATTTTCAGGGAAACAGGGTAGTTACTTTGAGCAGAAATATCATAGCACAGAAGTTCTTCTTTTGGTGGAAGACAACTGATTCTGCCTTAACTTTCTTGGGCTTAATAGCCACTTTGTAGCCACACAACAGGATAGGGATGTTTTCACACACACTTGTATCAGATTTCTATGCCAGGTAGGCAACTTCTTTTAAGTAACTCTCGAAGTTATACCAGACATTATAACTGCACCCTGGGCTTGGATGTATAATAATAGCTGTCTCGGTCCGCTGAATTTCTCCTGGCCCCGTGTACCCCACACATGGAACTTAATGTGCCCTCCGTTGGTGTGAAACAGGAGGGGATGGACTTTAACACGCAAGGTGGCTCCATCTCAAACTCACCAGACGAGTTTCACCAATGGAGTATTCCCAGTCCCATCATCGCCAACCAACACAAGCTAGAACTGAACCTGGGGTTCTCCCTGGGAAATGATCATGATGTTACTTTCAGAAGAATCTCCGGCGGGTCTGACTGAAAGCCAGAAAGAAGAAAGATGAATTCTCATTGTATATAAATGGAACCAGTCAGCATATACTCTTTGGCGTCCGGTCTCTTTTCTCAATATTATGTTTAGAGAGTCATCCGAATTGTTGTCTTCCAACTTTTGAAATAAAATCTTTAGATCCCTACGTGGTAAAAACTGGACCTGCATTCAACTAATTCTTGGATCTCAGGGACTCTCCGTGGGCTCCGCGGGCCGCCTCTTAGGGAACCACGCCCTCCTCGGCCTTCTCCCCGCCCATCTCGGGGGCTAGCGTACGGCTGCGCACTGCGCGCGGGAGCGCGGTCACGTGATTACGGCCAGCCGGCCAAGATGGCTGCCTCCAGCGTGGCTGTGCTATCGCTGTCCCTAACGTTGCCGCCGCTGCTGCTGCTGCTACTGCTAATCGCGTGGAAGCGCTGGCGGCGGGGGCACTCGGCCGGGCACGCCATCGTCGTGGTACTGGGCGACGTGGGCCGCAGCCCCCGAATGCAGTACCACGCTCAGTCATTGGCCAAGTGTGGCTTCTCCGTGACCCTCCTGGGGTTCTGCAGTGAGTGCCGGGGATCTGGGAAGGAGGCAGCTCTCTCAGCTTGATCATCTCAAAGGGGCCGGAGCGAGGATGCTCCTTCTCTCTCTCCTCCCTGGGGCAGCTCTCCGAGATGGACGAGCCCACTGTCGTCCTGGACAGCTGTTGCCAGGTTTCTGCTCAGGCTCTGCTGGGTGGGTCTGCGTGAACAGTCTAAACAAGCTGTAAACGAGCGCCTGCCATATACCAGGGCAGTGCTAAGCTAATGAATTCATTGCACAGTTCTCACTTAATCCTCCTCGTAAGTGGGAAGGCGGACTGGAACCCAGATGTGTGTGACCCCAGGGCTAGTATTGGTAACCGCATCTCTGCGGCTACTCTTGTCAGGCTGCGTCCGAGGAGACAGGCAGCTTGTCTCCTCTGCATTCCTCTTTGCAGAGCTCTGCAGACAAATGTTTTTCATTTGCACAGCATGTCCACTTTTCCCCTCAATGTGCAGCGTCACGCGTGTCTGTTCATCTTCCTCCATGTTAACATCTTTAAAGGGCAGCTCATTCTATATCAGTGCAAAGCAGTAATAAGAGCACTGGTTGCTTTTGGTCTCTGTTTAGAGCCTGCTCTCTGAGGGTGAGGGGCTGGAGTGGGACTTCATAGGGGTCTTCCTGTGATGGGATAATTCCACCATCCAGGGAATCTAGATCAGTTTGAGGGGCTACTGTGTGCCAAGTAATGTGTTACCTAAAGGTGAATACGATTTGGGACCTTCCTCTCTGGGTAGTCCAGTGGGATCTGGACAAGAATTGGCCTCATTCTCTGTTCTGGCAATTGAGGAGCAGAGAACTGTTTGGAAAAGTCCTAATTTCCAAAATACTCTCTGCTATTTTGCCTGAATTGGCAGATCATCTGACTTTAAATTTGATTGCCCTGTCTGGTTCATTAAAGGGAACATTCTTTTCAGACTCCAAACCCCACGATGAGCTCTTGCAGAGTGACAGGATTCGGATTGTGCCTTTGACAGAACTTCAGAGACTTGCAGGTAGGGTGCAACCCGTTCCGGATTTCTCTGACTCCGTTTGTGTGTGTGTGTGGGGGGGGGGGAGGGGAGAGAGGGCGCTCTGGCGGGGTGGTGGTATCTGTAAATTGCCAAGAACTCCTGTGGCAGTGACAGCTGTTTTCTGACTTGCAGTTGGGCCACACATTCTTCAGTATGGAGTCAAAGTTGTATTTCAGGCGGTGCACTTGCTGTGGAAGTTGATGTGCTGTGAGCCAGCAGCCTACATCTTTCTCCAGGTATATGCCAGCCCTGCTTCTTTTTGTGAGAATCACTGTTAACAGTTCTCCTCACTTTCCAGTCTTTAAAAAAGCATAGGTTGCCCTAACTGGTTTGGCTCAGTGGATAGAGCGTCGGCCTGTGGACTGAAGGGTCCTACGTTCGATTCCAGTCAAGGGCATGCACATTGGTTGCAGGCACATCCCCAGTGAGGGGTGTGCAGGAGGCAGCTGATCAATGTTTCTCTCTCATTGTTGTTTTTAACCCTCCTTCCCTCTCCCTCTCTGTAAAAAATCAATAAAATATATTTAAAAAAATGCATAGGTTGGTAAATAAATTGCACATCTCTGTGTATAAACTTTTAAGAATAGAGGAGGAGAATAGAGTATGTGACTATTCTATTTATGGTGCCCATCCAGTTTATTTTTCTATGTCATTACACAAAAGTCTAATATTGTACTTATTACACATCTAAGTGTTTTACATGTATTAACTCATTTAATCACTGACAATAATCCTAAGAGTTGAGGAGACCTACATCCCAAGAAGTTCAGTAAGTAGCCCATTGTTACACAGCTAGGAGGTGCTGGAGGCAGAATTTTTTGTTTTGTCAGTCTTCACCCAATGGTATTTTTTCTATTGAGTTTTGGAGAGAGTGGAAGGGAGGGGGAGAGACAGAGAAAGAGAGGAAAACAGCAATTGGTTGCCTCCCATATGGGCCCTGACCCGGGGCTGGGGATCAAACCTGCATCCGAAGTATGTGCGCTTGACTGGAATTGAACCTATGACCCTTCAGACTGTGGGCCGATGCTCTATCCATTGAACCAGACCAACTAGGGCTGGAGGCAGAATTTGAACTGGGTAGTCAGTTTGACTCTGGAGTTATGCTCTTAACCTTTTCCCTTCACTTTTTAACATATAGAAACACCTTTTTGATTTATTAAATTAAAAAAACAAACAAACTGATTTTAGAGAGAAAGGAAGGGAGCAAGAGGGATAGAAACACCAATGAGAGAGAAACATCAACATTGATCGGCTGCTTCCTATATGCCCCCCTACTGAGGATTAAGTCCATAACCTAGGCATGTACCCAGACCAGGAATCGAACCGGTGACCTCCTGGTGCACAGGTCGACACTCAATCACAGAGCCATACCAGCTGGGTAGAAGCACCTTCATTTACTTGGCTGATGTACCCTGATTATTTATTTAGTCTTATTTTATGGTAAAAGAGTATCAGTGAATATATATATATATATATATTTACACGAGTCTGATCTCTTTCTTGGGATAAATTCATAGGAGTGGAAGTGCTTGGTCAAAACTGATGCACTTTAAAATGTGTGGTGTGCTACTGGATAGACCTAGAATAGGGCTGGGCCAATTTGTCCCCTCTCCCAAAGGGGGTGCCTTTTCCTCAACACAATTTCCATCTAACTAAATGTACCTCCTTGATTCGATGACCTTGGACTTTTCAGGTTGGTCAGTTTGTTTCTTTTATGACTTTTTATACCTTTTTTAGTGAAAAAAGAGGGACTTCTGGCTATCGATCATGTATGTTGCACTCAGTTTATTGTCAATGATAGTCTTCTTTCCTCATCTTCATCCAAGTCTCCCTTTTTCCCAGAACCCCCCCGGCCTGCCTGCCATTGCTGTCTGCTGGTTTGTGGCCTGCCTCTGTGGGCCCAAGCTCGTCATCGACTGGCACAACTATGGCTACTCCATTATGGGTCTGGTTCATGGCCCCAGACACTGGGTCGTTCTGCTGGCCAAGTGGTAAGGGTCTTGGAAGGATGGTGCAGATACCTTCCCTAAACTGTGGTAGGAAGAAGGGCGGAGACTCAGTGAAGCTGCTTCCCTATAATTGGGCGGATGCTGGTTAAAAGTGATGGAAACAGGCCTAAGCAAAGGACAACATCTGCTGGCTTACGAAACAGAAAAGTCCAGAGAAATGGCGGACTTGAACTCCAAAAGGGTGTTATCAAGGACCGCCTTCATCTCTCTTTCCACACTCCCTCTAGGAGGTATTTCTCAGGTTCTGGGAGCTCCTGTTGCTGTCAGCCTCACCCTGTCAGGCTCTGCAGAGAGTGTACCTCTGATTGGCACCTGCCATCCTGTGTCCTCCTGCAGAGGCCAGAAGCCGTAGCACTTTAGTGCCTCAGGCTTGGCAGAGGTGCTCCTGGGAGAGCTAGGATCCTAGATGTGCCAAGACCAGATTCCCAAATAAAAACAGGCTTTTGCTGGAAGGGAAACAGGCCACAGTTTGCAGCAGCTGATGAGAAGGAAAAAGGGCCTGTGGTAGCAGTTTGACCAGGGGCAGGAAGAATTGGTTTGTTCTGAGCTGCGGTGTACAACTCCTGCCTCAGTGGGGACTTACAGCCTCTCCTGATGGGTAATTCTTTGATGGTGGTAACAGCAGTAGTGGCAGCAGTAATTATTGAGCATTTGCTGCATGCCAGGCTCAGTCCAAGTCCTTTATCCCATTCAGTGTACACTGAACCCCTTTTACAGGCTGGGAAATCAAGGCCGAGAATCATTATGTCTCTTGTCTCACAGCTAACAAGTGTGTGGACCAAAATTCAGGCCCAGGCTGTCCAATTCCAGAGCTCTTTGCATCCTGAGTTGGCAACAAGCCCTGATACACCAACTGAATGGCACCTGAGTTTCATTCCCCCTTTCCGGTTCTCTTTCGGTTCTGCCCTATCATCAGGTTATAAGCCTCCATTTGGAGCAAATATGTTGTTAACGCCTCTCTATCATTTGCTAAACTCCTCTGTAATACATGGAGAGCATCCTCAGCCCCGCAGCCTTTACAGGGAACAGTGCAAGGTAGCTAAAATTTAATAACAGGGGCTTTATTGTATTTCTTCTTATGGCAAGAGAGACTGGGTTTTCCCTTCGGTGGCATATATTGTTTTCTTTGAAAGTAATTGTATTTAGGCTGAAAAGCGGTACGATGAAAAGAAAGATGTGAAGGAAATAATAGCAAAGGTGGAACTCAGTACAAATCCCAGGAAGTTACCTTGCCAGAGACCTGATTTGGGAGACCCCAGCTCTGCAGCCTCTTCTGTACGGGAAAGTTTCCAGTCACATGGTGGTTATGGCCGTGGGGCCTGGTCAGGGCTCTGGGCTGAGCAACTCTGTGTTTTTCCAGGTACGAGAAGCTTTTCGGCCGCCTCTCCCACCTGAACCTGTGTGTGACCAGTGAGATGCGGGAAGACCTGGCAGAGAACTGGGGCATCAAGTAGGGACCTCGGGTGGGGCAAGGGGCCCCAGCTCAGTTGGTTCCAGTGGCAGTGCCTGCTGTGTCATGTTGGCAAGGCATCTGGAAATATCCAGGGGCCTGGGAGATGGTTATTGTCTTGGGAAACTGGGGGAGGAGGAGTGAGGGAGGAGGAGGTTGGAGTTTCTTTCCAGCCAGCCAGATAGCCCAGGCAGTTTTTAAATATATATATATATATATATATATATATATATATATATATATATATATATTGATTGATTGATTTCAGTGAGGGAAGAAGAGGGAGAGAGAGATAGAAACATCAGTGATGAAAGAGAATCATTGATTGGCTGCCTCCTGCATGTTCCCAACTGGGGATCAAGCAACCCAGGCATATTCTGGGAATCAAACTGTGACCTCTGGTTCATAGGTGGATGCTCAATCACTGAGCCACACCAGCTGGACTGGTCCAGGCAGTTTTGTTAGAACTTCTTTCTGATTACCCGAGTAATCATAGCTTGGTATTGTCATTGTCTGAGACTTAGATTCCCCCAAGGACCCTTCTTTTTTCCAGATCCTCCTGGGTCTTCTATTCTTTAGGCCCCACTCCACTCCTAGAGCCTCCCACTGATCTCTTTGCAGAGCTGTGACTGTCTACGACAAGCCAGCATCTTTCTTTAAAGAGACGCCCTTGGACCTGCAACACCGTCTCTTTATGAAGCTGGGCCGCACCTACTCTGCACTCAGGGCCAGGTAGGTCTCCCATCTTCTCTTGTGTTCACTTCTGTCCTGGCTTCTCCCCTGTCGCTTTGCTGCAGACTTGGGTTGGCTAACTATGGCTCCAGGCTCACTGCCTGTTCATAAATAAAGTTTTATTGGAATGCAGCACATTCATTCATTTATTGATTCATTGTCCATGGCTGCTTTCACACTACAAGTGGAGCTGTTACAAAAGAGATCAAATAAAAGTTTGAAGTGTCTATTCTCTGGCCATTTAAGGAAATGTTCATCCTGCTCAAGGCTGTGGGCATCTTACCCTCCTGCCTGCAGGTTTCTGACCCCATGGCGGCGCCTGTGGACCTGTGTGGTCTGTGGGGTGTCTCCCAGGGCTCAGGAAAGGCCCTTTGAGCAGCAGTTCACACACCAGTTGTTTGCTCCTTTCAGTAACCTGGGAGCCAGGTGGGAGGTCACAGCATCTTCATCCTAAGTTGAGGGAATCCTAAGAACAGGAAGCTGGTGAAGGCTGGGGCTGAGTCAGTCTTGCCTGCTGTTGTGACCTCAGCACCTAGCAACAAGTCAGTATTGATACAGAGAGCAAGGCACATGTCTGTGCCCGGCCAAGGGCTGTAGGGTTGGCTCAATGTGTCTGACATGGCCATACCCTGACCCTCGGGAGCTTTTGGGCCTTGCTCTGGTGGGAGATGGCCATCCTGGGGCCTGCGGGCCTGCTCTGTGGCATCTTACAGGCTTTGTCCCTGCTCCTTCAGCTCAGATCCCTTGGACCCAGCCACGGAGAGGTCGGCCTTCACGGAGCGGGATGCTAACAGCGGGATGGTGACACGCCTTCGTGGGCGGCCGGCCCTGTTGGTCAGCAGCACGAGCTGGACAGGTCTCAGGATCCCCCTGTGCACTTGGGGTCTTGTACGAGCACCTGTCTGAGCTGGCATTCTCCTTTCTGCCAGGACTGTACCCCCCTCCCCTTCACATATATTTGGGGTGCCCTGAGGCCCTGATGAGAAAGGGAAGGGCATTGAGCTGGGTGGGATGGGGGCCAGGGGAAACATTTAGAAACCAGTGTGATACTGTCTCTCTCTTCTTGTAGAGGATGAAGACTTCTCCATCCTGCTGGCAGCGTTAGAAAGTAGGTGTGTGGCTGTGATCAGGAGTTGGGCTTGTCAGGGGCTGTTGAGCTGCGAGGTGCTCACTGAGCCTTGCGTGATGTCCGCTGCAGAGTGTCCCTTCCCCCAGAGTGTCCCTTCCCCCAGAGTGCAGCCCTGGGGGAAGGGACACTCTGCAGAGGACATCACGCAAGGCTGTCTGGGCACTTGGGTGGTGGAGGTGGTGGCTCTGAGTCCCCATTTGGGTCATGGAGTGACCAGGCCCAGAACTGAAGTGCCATCTCTGGGAGAGTGACCTCATGTCTGGAATTGTCCCTCCGCATTCCCCTCCCCGACCCGTCCCTCACCTGAGTATATGATCCTGTCATCATGATGTGTTTTCTTGAACACAGAGTTTGAACAGCTGATCCTGAATGGGGAAAGCTTGCCTTCTTTGGTCTGTGTGATAACAGGTACTGCCTGGGACCCTCCATGTTCCTGTGTTTGGCTTGGGGGCAAGGAGGGGGGACGGCATCTGCCTTTCTGGTGTGCCTTTCCTACGTCAGGCACGCAATGCTCCTTGTTCCCTTAATCCGCATGGCAGCTCTCTGATGTAGGTTTTTCTACACCTATTTGCCAGTGGGGGAAATGGGCTCAGAGGAGCCTCACAGCAGGGCATGGAGCCTGGTGTTTATTTTTTTTCTTTCTTTTTTTTTTTAAAAGAGGCCACTGTCTGACATAAAATTGCTTCCAAAGTAGCCCAGTGGGAAGAGAAGCAGAGCTGTGGTCAGAGGAGGAGGGTCCTAGGCCAGGTGTCACACCGTGTGCACTCCCCTCCTGGCCGGCCCAGGGTTGCAGGAGCCCACTGCACATGCCATGCCACCACCTGGGACTCCTGGCGAGGCACAGGGCGTCCATGTGAGAATCGGTGTCTAATTGGCCCTCTGGCGCCAGGCCAGAGTTTATCCTGGCCACGCTCACAGTCTGCTGGGCACAGGTTGCCATGGCCTCAGTGGTCAGGGTGCACACCCCTGGAGAGTTGTTTCTGGAAGGGGCCAGATGGGAGTTTGATTGGAGCTGGGGAGTGTCGGCTTCCTGCTCATACCTTGGCAAGGGCTTCTCAGGTCTGGGCCATGGGTGGAGCCAGAGGTGGGCCAGAGCAGTAACTCCGATTTTCTCTGCAAGGCAAAGGGCCTCTGAAGGAGCATTACAGCCACCTCATTGGCCAGAAGCATCTCCAGCACATCCAGGTCTGCACCCCATGGCTGGAGGCCGAAGATTACCCCCTGCTTCTAGGTAAGGACGCCTGGTTGGAGATCTGAGGGAGGCGGGGAGAGGAGCAGGGCTGAGGTTTAAAGGAATCCTTTAGGGCTGAAGGACAGACTTTTTCTAAAAATGACAAGATTGTAAATATTTTACTGGCCTCTGTTGCACATTTGTATTTGCAACCCTTTAAAAATTAAAAGACGTTCTCAGCTCAAGGGCCTTACACACATCGGCCTCAGGCTGGGTTGGGCCTCGCCGTGGGCCCTGCTCCAGGGGCCACCTGGGACAGAGATGCTGCTTGCCAGGAACCTGTCAGAGGAGCTGTTGACTGTACTCCAGGAAGGAAGGCTGTTTCCTGGTGTGCCAGCTCCTTCCTGTTTTGTGGGCTCAGGTGTTGTTTGCCAGGGATTGTAAGAGGTTTATGTCCTCTTAGTCACGCCCTCAATTCAGTCCTGCTCTTCAATCAATCCAGGCGAGAGGGCTGAGCTGGCGTGGGTTGGGGCTCATTGTTCCCCAAGAGCCGGAGGGCAGTGAAGAGATGAAGGTTAGGCAGTATTGACTTTCCTTTCGAGAATGCCCTCCCCTTCTCTTCCCTCCTTCATTACTCGGGGGAGGGCAGAGTTGGCTTGGTACTGATGCGTCTCCAAGACTCATCTTCCGGCAGCCAGTGACAGCCCAGGCAGAGAGCCTATGTGGGCAGGCATTTCCAGCCAGAACTTAGTGATGTGAGCTTGTTTATTTGGCTTTATTTTCACAGCGACAGCTGGTTTTCTGTTGAGTCTCCTGTGGGTTCAAAATTTTTTCAATTATTATGATAAAATATATATAGCAAAGTTTGCCATGTGAGACATTTTCCCGCTTTACATGTACACGCAACTCAGAGGCATGAATTATGTCCACAGTGTTGTGCAGTCGTCACCACTGTCTGTTTCCAAAACAGCCTCATCACCCCAAGCAGACACTCTGAACCCATTCAGCATAATTGCTGTGTGTTCTTTTTAAAATAAATGGTGGTTAAGTAGGAAAAGGGAGTCTGTTTAAATTAAAATGTTAGTGATAGGTAGCGTTCAGATAGGGCTGAGTGGCCAGGATTGGACACTGTTGTGTCCCAACCCTGCACCAGGATGCTTGCCCGGCTCCAGCCAGTTCTGTGTGGGGTTGGGAGTGTTTCCCTTGTCCCACTCCCCACCAGAGGCGTCGATCCACAGTCCTTGCAGCATGTGTGGCCAAAGGAAGCATGGCCAGTGCTCTGATGGCCCCTCCCCCTGCAGGGTCTGCGGACCTGGGCGTCTGCCTGCACAAGTCCTCCAGCGGCCTGGACCTGCCCATGAAGGTGGTGGACATGTTTGGATGCTGCCTGCCTGTGTGTGCCGTGAACTTCCGGTGGTAGGAGCGGACACTGAATCTTCTGGGAGTTAGGTTCTCAGATCAGCCACTGAGGGAACCAGTGTGGTCAGAGCTGCCCCTGAGAAAGGCTCCGCCTCCCGATCTGTGCAGCTCAGCCCAGTGGCCCCGGGGAGTGGGAGCCCTCGGATGGGCTGAGTCCTACTGCAGGAGTTGGCTCCACTTAGCGCTCATGTTGAAGGAGAACTACCTGTCCTCAGTACTCAGCTCGGGGCTTGTGCTCAAAGGACAAAGTGGTGGCTGGAATCGCCTGCACAATTTACATGATTTTATTTCTCTTCCCCTTTGTCTGAGCTCATTTACTTTTATTCAAATTAGTCAAATGAGTGTTTTTCTGTCTTCGCTCTTCCTGGCAAAGATGGGGGTTTGGAGAGGACAGTGTGAGAAGAAGCTCTAGAAATGGACTCAGGAGCCATCCTCTGGACGGAAATCGGGATGTTAGACCCATGTGTGAGCTGAGCGTTGCACTCTGGGGTTACCCAGAAAAGCCACCCGTAATGTGCCGAGCCTACCTCCAATGGGGTTGCCTTTCACCTTGTTACTTTGGCGTCTGGTTAAAAAACAAGCAGAACCCGCCGAGACCGGTTTGGCTCAGTGGATAGAGTGTCGGCTTGGGGACTGAAAGGTCCCTGGTTCGATTCCGGTCAGGGGCATGAACCTTGGTTGCGGGCATATCCCATTGGAGGGTGTGCAAGAGGCAGCTGATCGATGACTCTCTCTCATCGATGTTTCTCTCTATCTCTCTCCCCTCCTCTTTGTACAAAATAAATAAAATATATTAAAAAAAAAAACGAAAAACAAACAAACAAAAAAAACAAGCAGAACCCACTGAGTGTTTTCACTGCAGAGTATAGAGCAGAAAAGGCTCAGGTCCCTGTTCATTGCCCCAACCCCCCCATTGATTTGAATTTTTGATATGTACCTTCCCAGGTCTATTTTCTATTCAGATGTCAAAACTAAGACCAGATTCATGGGAACCAGACTGACTGGTTCCTGACCCCTAGCTTAGCCTGTGGGTGGGAAGTGGTAGCGTGGGGGGCTGGGTGGCACCATGGAGTTCTGGTGTCTTCTCCAGGCAGTTTAGGTCTCCTTCGACTCTCTCTGCAGCTTACATGAGCTTGTGAAACATGAGGAAAATGGCCTGGTCTTTGATGACGCAGAGGAACTGGCTTCTCAGCTGCAGGTAGTGTGACTGCCCCCATGCCAGAGCTTGCAGGGCTTCAGGCTGGCACTGGGCCATGCCCCTGGACTCCTTGGGACTTGGCTGGGTCTGGGTGAAAGGCAGCAGGAGTCAGCAGTGGTCCCAGAGGTTGGGCCTCAGTGGGCCCAGGGGAATTAAGGCACACCCCACCTGCTGTTGGGTTTATGGAACTTATACCACGCAGATGATATAAGGTGAACTGTGTGCCACTTAGGGAGCAACTGGATATCAGGAGGGAGAGTGAGGAGTGAAGGGAGCTTCCTAGACCAGCCTTGCAAGATGGATGGGAGTCTTCAAAGGATACTTATTTCTTATTACAAAAAGTCATATATCATCATTTTTGATAGTTGAGACATGGGTGGCAAACTTTCTTGCAAGATCCAGCTAGAAAAATCTGGTGTGGCAGTGTTTCAATAAAGCTTTATTTACAAAGACAAGTGGAAGGTCCAATTCAGCCCACAGGCTACAGTTTGCAGACACCTGACTTAGTGAAACTCGAAAGAACATAGACATTGTCTTATTCCTAGCCCATGGGCTGGATGGTGCTGGGCAGAGGCTGAGGGGTGGGTGCTCTTGGAGGAAGGAACAGCATGGCAGAGGCTGGGGGCTACTGTAGGTCAGTGTGTGGATGGCGAGCACTGCAGCTTGGCTAGCTGTTGAGTAGGAGAGTAGGAAATGGAACATGGCTGGGGTGTGAGGGGTCCAATAAGCCTAGTGAGGGAGGGGCTGGCTAGATCAGGGAGGTCAGGTTCAGAGATGTTTGAGACCAGTTCCCCACGCTGTGGAAACTGGGCAGGCTGGTGCAGGGAGGCCACTGGAGGCTTCTAGCCACCGGTGGGGATGGTGTGGCCACAGAGGGAGGGTTTCTGAATCACTGGCCGGACAGCTGTGTTTGGGGTGAGACAGAGGTCCAGGCTGCTGGGAACGGGGTGGGTGTGGAGGGAAGCGGTGATGAGGGAAGTTTTTTTTGTCATTTTTCTTCTAGATGCTTTTCTCAAAGTTTCCTGATCCTGCTGGCAAACTGAACCAGTTCCGGAAGAATCTTCGGGAGTCCAAGCAGCTTCGTTGGGACGAAAGCTGGAAACAGACAGTTCTCCCTTTGCTTGTGGACACATGACCCCTTGGGCCAAAGACTGAACCCCCCTGAGCATGTCCTGGTGTTGGATGTCACAAAGAGGAAGACCCTGAGGTTCATGCAAACCCCTTCCTGCTCTCATAGCCTTCCCACCAGCACCGTGCTCCATGTCCCTCCTCCGGCCTCTTCCAGCTGCTGTCCCTTCCCTGCACAAACTGTGTAGAGCAGCGCCTCCCAGTGGATGGCAGTTGAAAGGACAGCAGGTGCCAGGCATAGGATGAAATTATCCCCCCTCCCCTTTCCTTTAAACTTTATTCAGAAGGCGAATTTTGGCAGTTTCATGACCATTTTGGTCAATAAAAAAATCGTATGGTCATTTCTAAGTTGCCAAACAGTCTAAATTTAGGACAGAGAGGTGAGGGCAATAAGAAAGTTTTAATTGGCACTGGTATCAATGCTTTCCCATCCCTGGGGATACTCAGTTGCACCTCTATGATGGGGTGTGTTTTTCTCACACTGGCTGCTCCAGTTTTGGGACGTCCACTCCACACAGAATCTGCTGGAAGTCTCCTCGCTTCCTGTGTTCTTTGAGAATGATTTAAATACCTCCAGACAGCCAGGCGGTGGGCCTGTGCTCTGTGTTATGTGCCTTGGGCTGTCAGTCAACAACATTCACACATCAGAAATGGAGGAGAAATCCCAAACCAAAGGGCTACCAATGAAATTTTCAATAAGATGGAGGTTGTCTACCAAGTGAAGTGCCTGTTCCCAATGTATATTGTCAGAGACTGTTTCATTGCTCTTCATGCTTTATGAAGGGTAAAAGGGTTTGGATGATTAGGACAGTTAAGGAGAGAGGATTTGTAATAAGAGAATCTTTACAGAGCCCTGGAGTATGAGTCCCACATCTCTTCCTGAAGTCGGGAAAAAAGGTGTCCCTCTCAGACCTCAAACTTTGGGAGGGAGCTTCCATAGCTCTACGTGTGAGGCTAACCATGTAGCAGGGGATGTGGTGGTCGGCACATCTCAACAGCCAGAAACAGGCTTCCCAGACAAGCTGAGGAAGGGCCAGCCTTTGGCTTGGAATGAACTTATTCTAATGACTGGGAATCTGTGGCCCAGGAAACTACTTCAGCCTCGAGTCACTTCTTTCTCTTTTTTTCTTTCCTCTAGTTTCTTTTCTGTTAATGCCTGTGGTCTATTCCACATCTCTTTGTCCGTTTTTGTCTCCTGGTGTCTGCTTCTCTCGGCATCTGCTGTTATGTCCCTAATATTTTGATTCCTGCTTTGACATGGGCACTGCGGCCCCCACACTGTGAGCACAGATGTGCCATGTGCACTGTGGGATATGTGTCCAGAATGGAGGAAAACGTACTAGATATATGTTTTTACCTGCACAAGTGGAATGCTTATCTCAGCCAAAACTTTCATTTCTGATTTATGGTGATGGGCTTATAACCAGAACTGCTGACAGAAAGGGGCACCCCCACACTTAAATAGTTACATATTTATTTTTATTTTTAAAAAAATATATTTTATTGATTTTTCACAGAGAGGAAGGGAGAGGGATAGAGTGCTAGAAACATCGATGAGAAACATCAACCAGCAGCCTCTTGCACACCCCCCACCGCAACCAATGTACATGCCCTTGAACACAATCGAACATAGGACCCTTCAGTCCGCAGACCGACGCTCTATCCACTGAACCAAACCGGTTTCGGCGAACAGTTATATTTCATTAGAACAGTTGGTGGTTCCTGATTCAGAATTTAACACTCTTCAAACATTTAAGTCCAATGAAAGTTTTATCAGCTTTTCCACATAGTCTTTCCCAAGTGATTTAATTTTCCCAAACATTTGTAAACCTACAGCATGAGTTTCAGAATTTCCATCTCTGAGTGCTCTTCATAAGGAAATAGCTTCTGGTTGTGACGAGGCACTGCTTCCCATGAGATCCCAGCCTTGCCTGGAAACAGAGCACATGTGTCTTAGGATGGTGGGGTTTGCGGACAGGATGTCACCTGTTAGTGCAAGGCTGCAGGACAGGCCTGGGAGTGGTGGAGGGGGGAGGGAGTGTATAGACATTTTCAAGCCTCATTCAGACATCTAGAGTCAGCCTCTGGGGGCAGGACCAGGAATCGTGTTTTGAAACATTTCATGACAGCCAGGTTTGCTGTTTCTGTCCATCGGCCATGCCCATCCTCAGGTCATGGCCTGTCTAGGCTCCCTGTAGCTTTGAACCTGTCCTACACCTCATCACCAGGTGCAGCCAGAATCTGAACCCGCTCTGCCTGACTGGTCATCAGGTACCTCCTCACAAAGGAGCACAGGTGTCTGAAGAGCCACTGATGAGGTTCATTTTGTCAGTTTTATTGTGAATGAAAAATTAACATTTAAAAAGAAAATGACATAACAGTGTAGAAGCATCTATGATCCTGCTGTCCAAGTATAACAACTATTAACTAGTGTCTATTCTTCCAGATTTCCCCCCATGTGAATAGTAATATAAAGGTGATTATTTTTTAAAATAAAAATTGGCTTATACTATTTATGCTGTTTGGCACTTTGCTTTCTTCACTTAAAATATATTGTAGATTTTGATGGTTATTAGATGGGAGGGGAGTGGGAGATAGGTGAAAAGGTGAAGGGATTGAGAACTACACATTGGTAGTCATGGGGATGTAAAATAGAGCAAAGAAGATATAGTCAATTATACTGTAATAACTATGGTATCAGATGAGTACTAGATTTATTAGAGTCATCACTTTTTAAGTTATATAAACGTCTAATCACGGGGTTGTACACCTAAAACTAATATAATGTCAACTGTAAATTAAAAAAAAATTAAAATATATACTGTAGATACTTTGTCCCATCTCAGAAGGACTTCATTCTTTCCGAGGCTCACAGTACTCTGCCAATGGGACATGGGCACATGTGGGTGCGTGTTTAGGTGGTCTTTGTGTTTGGAAGATGGGGCTTTGCTGGGGGCGGGTATTGGGGGCAGATGTTGGGGCAAATGGGTCCTGCACTGTTTCAGGTTCAAAGTTAGAAGGCCTGGCAGATGGTGGGAATTGCAGGGCAGTAGGTGTGGGGTGCAAGATTAGGGGTGGAGAGCAGGAGCTGGCTGTCTGGCTCCAGTCCTTGGAACTCAGGCCATTACTTATCTTCCCTACACCCGTGTTTCCATGGGCAACAGAGGATGGCACCCCTCCAGCTGCTAGAGGGGCTGGCACATTTCAGGTCTGGGGACAGTGCCTGGTCCGCAGCAATGCCAATTCAGGGCAATAAAAGGTAGACTCCTTTCCCTTCTGAAAGTTCCCCCTTGTTCTTCCATATACTACGAGTTTAATCCAGGAATAGCAGCTCCTGTTTTCCTCGGCGTTCCTGTAAGTCAGACCCTGCTCCACCTCAGGTGGATGTTTCCACTGTACAGATGGCCCAGAGGCAGTGTCAGCCCAGCTCCACCAGGGAGGGTGTTGGAACCAACTCTAGAGCCTGTGCCTGACGGCAATGTGGCCTGAGCTTGGTCTACCCTGACACCACTGGCATCTGCCATCCTATCCACTTTACAGCCAATGAAACCTGCCCTAGACACATGGCAGGGCTGCTGGTCCCAGCCCTCCAGGATCATGGTGTGCACTCTGTCCCTTGGAGCCTGCTCTCCCCCCTGCTGACCTCAGGTTGGGAGTTGTTGCCCCAGCCCAGCTCCTGGTTTGTCGCTAGGACCCCATTCTCTCACTTCCCTGGTTTCTGCCTCACTGGAGTCCTGTGTGGGGCCAGCACAGTGGTCCCTGCAGGTTGGACTGCCTCTCAGCTGTCATGGGCTCACCTAACTCAGTGGTGAACAGCCTGCATGTCTCCGGGTTGCGGATGGTGAAGGCAATGTAGGCGTCAGGAGCCTGCTGGTCCTTCTGGCAGGCCGATAGTGTCTGCAGGACCCTGACGAGTGAGAGGACAGTTTCTGGGCAGTACAGCACATCTGCAACGAAAAACCTCAGGTCACCGACAGGGACTCCCTTTAGGATTCAGATCCCCAGAATGGAGAGCGCTGGGTTGTGCCAACCCTGGCAACAGGCCAAGGGCCAGGAAAGCAGCAGTTCTATTAGATGGAAAGAAAGTTATGTATGTAAAAAAAAAAAAAAAAAAAAAAAAGAAGAAAATCCTTAGGAGAATGAAAGTTGCTGAAAGACAAGGCAACGGAAAAATATCAAGGACTCACTGATGTTCCTTTAAAAAAAATAAAAATTCTTTAATAAAACAAACCTGAGTCTGCTTCAGACTTCTTGCCTCTTTGCTCTCAGCAGTGTGAGGACCAGCTCACTATTGCCTGACAGCCAGGCTTACAGGGATGGTGCCACCTTGGGGTGTGATGCTTGGGCTCTGCGCTCGGCCACTGTGTGCCTTTGGGTCTCAGGGCTGTGGCCCAGGACCAGAGGTATAGAGAGCTCTGTCAGCCAGAGGCTGAGGTGAGCTTGGCAGAGGGTAAGGGGTCTGTCGGTGGCCAAACCAAATGTTCCTTCTTTCAAGGAACCTTTCCTTGCACTAGACTTGGGTGGTCCCCTCCGTGGGGACTTGTCTATGAAAGACACGGTGTGCATGTTAGACAGAAACAGCAGGAGCTCTCCTCAGGGCCACACAGACATGCGACGATGATACAGAGCACAGGGAAGTCAGCGCTGACAGAGATGGGGCACTTAGAGCCCTGACTTGGACTCCACCCTGAGCCCATGGGTGCCCTCGACACACAGAGGACTGACAGTCCTGGGAATATTGTGCTATTCCTGTGGCCCTGACAGGACAAGGCTGCCATAGCCATTTCCCATCCCCTCTGCCTGAAGATGCAGCTGCTCTCACTATCTGATTTATGTTCCAGATGGCAACTGAGTGGCCTCCCTCAGGCTCTGGAGAGGGACACAAAGGCGGGGCTAATAGGTCAGACCACCGTGGTGCTCTGGGGCCTGCTCTGCTCATCCCAGGCCTTGCAGGCAAGAGCCAGGTTCATTTATCTGATGGGACCACTACAATGGGAGTGCAAAAGT